ACCCAGAAAGCTGTCTGCGGACAAACGCTAGCTCCCTTGGTCTGAAAGCGAGATGAATGCCGCAATCCCATAGCCGCCTTTGACTGGACTTAACCATCCAGGGGTCCTTTACCTTTACCTTTTACTGCAGGGCTGCAGGTCCGGGTAGCTTTCTGCAGCAGGAAAGCAGATAGCTCTTAGTTATCCTCACAAAACAGCATTTTAGGACGCATCTATACTGTACATTTAAAGCAAGTAGTTTTCCCTAAAGAATCACGAGAGCTTCACAGAGCTACAGTTCCTAGCACCCTTAACAGATTACAGTTCCCAGGAGTCTTTGGGGGGAGTCATGCACTTTTAATGTGTTGTGACCTTAAGTAAAGGATTGTGACATTATGTGAATTCCTAAAAGACCAATGAAAAGCCTGCTAGGATTAGTCTTTAAATACTACACCTAACTTCACCGTTGGATTGCTTGAGCTTGCGTTTGGCCTGGGCATTGCAGTGGTTCAGAAATCAATACAGAACAGTGCCAGCTTTTATTTGCTGGCACAGCAAGTCTTGGCATTGGCTGGTAAGCCAATAATTAAATACGAATAATTTCCTTTGGATGAAAATCCTTCGCAGAAATTTCCCCCAGGATGCTGTTATTGTGTTTGATAGAGAATTTTAATTTTCCTTCCCATTCGAAAACTGGCTTGTTATACAGAAAATAAATCAATATTTTAGAAGTTCAGTCACTGAATGCTCTGAAAGCAATAATACAATGCCAATATTGCACCTGGGGCTTTCATTTTATGTACCAGAAAGAGCAAAGAAAGAAATAGCATGACTCTGCTGAAACAAAGAAAAGGTCTAAGCAGACTGAGTGAGCAATAATAATAATAATAATGAGGTCTGAGTTTTTAAATCTGCGATTATTGTATGGTAAATGAAAATGTGATGCTTGTGATGGATAACCCACAATGATTTATTACCTTGGCAAGATGGAGCTCACTTACCGTAATAAAAATGTGTTGCTTTTCACTATGTCAGACCACCAGCAACCTGCATTTTCTAAATATTGAGATATTGGGTAGCTCCGCGTTATTATGTTAGGTATACCATATTACTTTTGCAAATTCTGAGGTGTCAGATATTTCCTTTTTAATAGCTGTGTTTTGAGAGGCATGCACAACTCCAACATCAATCTTCCCATAATCAATTGTAGCTCAGTACAGGAATCTGAATTTCTTAGCTACCCAGACTGCACAACTGATGTGGAGGCAGCTTCTCATGCACCAGCACTGAAATTGATAGTTGACTAAATATGTGTGCGTTGGGGTGGGGAGGCGAGGTCTCAAAAAACAAACCCTAACAAGATCCATCTAATTCCAAGTGCATGGATTAAAACCTGATGTGCAGTCTGATCCGTTGTGCTCTTGTTGTTGTTGTTGTTTAGTCGTGTCCGACTCTTCATGACCCCATGGACCAGAGCACGCCAAGCACTCCTGTCTTCCACTGCCTCCCACAGCTTGGTCAAACTCATGTTAGTAGTTTCAAGAATACTGTCGAACCATCTCGTCCTCTGTGGTACCCTTCTCCTTGTGCCCTCCATCTTTCCCAACATCAGGGGCTTTTCCAGGGAGTCTTCTCTTCTCATGATGTGGCGAAAGTATTGGAGCCTCAGCTTCAGGATCTGTCCTTCCAGTGAGCACTCAGGGCTGATTTCCTTCAGAATGGATAGGTTTGATCTTCTTGCAGTCCATGGGACTCTCAAGAGTCTCCTCCAGCACCATAATTCAAAAGCATCAATTCTCTAGCGATCAGCTTTCTTTACGGTCCAGCTCTCACTTCCATACATCACTACTGGGAAAACCATAGCTTTAACTATACAGACCTTTGTCGGCAAGGTGATGTCTCTGCTTTTTAAGATGCTGTCTAGGTTTGTTATTGCTTTTCTCCCAAGAAGCAGGCATCTTTTAATTTTGTGACTGCTGTCACGATCTGCAGTGATCATAGAGCCCAAGAAGTAGAAATAATCCTCATATTTCAGTTGGGCTTACTTCCTCATGAGTGTACAGTGGTACCTTGGGTTAAGAACTTAATTCGTTCCGGAGGTCCGTTCTTAACCTGAAACTGTTCTTAACCTGAAGCACCACTTTAGCTAATGGGGCCTCCTGCTGCTGCTGCTGCACCGCTGGAGCATGATTTCTGTTCTCATCCTGAAGCAAAGTTCTTAACCTGAAGCACTATTCCTGGGTTAGCGGAGTCTGTAACCTGAAGCGTATGTAACCTGAAGCGTATGTAGCCTGAGGTACCACTGTACTACCAACCTTACTGTATGCTTGTGAAACGTGGACTACTTATAAATGCCATCTCCAACTCCTCAAAAGATTCCATCAGTGGTGTCTCTGAAAAATTTTACACAGCACCTCTGAAGACAGGCAAACTAATGCCAGTGTACTGGAAGAAGCAAAAATCACCAGTGTCGAAGCGACAATTCTTCAACATTAACTTTGTTGGACTGGTCATGTTGTTCGGATGCCTGGTTATCGTCTTCCAAAGCAACTACTCTATTCCAAACTTAAAAATGGAAAGCGTAATGCTGGTGGTCAACAAAAGAGGTTCAAAGAGTCTCTAAAGGCAAATCTTTAAAAAATGTAGTATAAACACCGACAACTGGGAAACACTGGCCTGCGAGCGCTGCAATTGGAGAACAGCCTTGACCAAAAGTGTCATGGACTTTGAAGATGCTCAAACTCAGGACGAAAGGGAGAAACGTGCTAAGAGGAAGGCACGCTTGGCAAACCTTCCCTGTGATCAACTCCTGCCTGGACACCTATGTCCCCACTGTGGAAGGATGTGTGGATCCAGAACTGGCTTCCACAGTCACTTACAGTGTTAAAATCATGTTCATGGAAAACAATCTTACTCGGCTAAGAGTAATCACAGATGATGATGATGATGAAGAAGAAGAAGAAGAAGAAGCAAGCTGATCAAGTTAGAGCCCTATCTGCACACGTACTCTTCGCTGGATTGGGAAGAGCACTCATAACAGTGCTATTACTTTGTCTAAAAAATAAAAATAATGATAAAAAAACCAATGAGAAACTTGTTTCAAAGATTTTTCCTGGTCTGATATTTTGCCCAGCATGCACAGAAGCTATAAACAAGCTGTTTCATTAACACTCTGAGGCAAACATTTCTACTATTTACAGTATATGATAGCTCTGATTTCGGGGGGGGGGGGGGTGTATAAAAATCAATACAAGTTTTCAGTGCGGCCTTCATTTACTGATGTCCTGTAAATGGAATACTCTCTTAAACCATGCTTGGCCAAATCCACCTCGGATTCTGTTTTTCATCCAATTAGATTGCTCTTCTGTATCCTGAAGATTTAACTGTTCAGCCTCATCTGAATGCAGTTGAGGAGAAGCTGTTTTTCAATATGGAGCGGGCTCCACCTTTCACTGTGCTTGCTGGAGAAACGGGCAAAGGAAGGTGAGTCCCTGTGCCTTTAATGTCGGCTGTGTAGCAGAGGCAAGTTCAGCTTGTGCCACGCAGGAAGGGAAAGATAAAATAAGACGACATTAAAGCAGTATTTGTCAACTCTTTTTCAAAAAGGAGCAATGATAGGATAAGAGAAAAGAACTGACAGCGGTTCTTCAAAAAAAGCATCTAGGGCTTTATTTATTTAGTTAGTTGCCAGGTGCTTTTTCAAAGGTGAAGGAGGCAGAACCCACAGGCAGGCATGTGAAGGAAGTAGAATTTCACACAGACGCCTTCCACACTAAAATCCCAACTATCTATCATTCTAAGGCATAATTATGGGTTCCCCAAAGAGCAGGTAGTCCTCCAGGATTAGCATCCTTGGTGCTCTTCTGAATTTAATCCACCTCCTGAAAGGCAAACACTCCATTTCAGGTTTCAGGGTTTATGGAGGAAGATTCTCGGCAACATTTCTATGTCTGCTCTTTGCTGTACTGAAGAGTAAATTGGGAGGGACGGAGGGAGGGAAATGGGTGTATTTTAAGAGCATTTGCTCTGCTTACTCTTTTTATATCGCACAGTAACTATAGCAATGCGACCAACACAAGTTAAACGATCACCTTTTCTCGAGGAAAGGGATTTGGCATGCAGCCCTAGCACAAATTCTCAGCGCACGGGCATGTCGTTCAGAGCACAACCTTATACTCAAAATCTGCCAGCAGAAGCTCCACTGCAGAATTGTGTCTCACTGGGGAGAGTGTTTCCTGACTGACACAACGGCCAGCCAATTAGTACCGTGCAATGCCCTGTTCCAAGAAATGGCAAGAGGTTCTTTATAACTGAGATAAGGGCCAGGTAATCAGTGCTATGCAAATCAAATCCGGTTGGAGAATATGTGTACACTGAAATTGCAGAGCACATACTTCCAAAGTCAGATCACTTGTCTCCAACCTTGTTCAGCGTTTTGGAAGGAGGCTAACAGAGATTGCAGGGCAGCAGTTGAAGAAGGAGCAAAAAGGGTTTTCTTGTGTGTGTGTGTGTTTCTTTGTGACTGATTGGCTGCTCTCCCTGTGCAAAGGTCAGAGGGGGCAGGGTTTCTGTTGAGGCAGGTGATTAGCTGTGGGAGGAGCTTATCAGAGATTGCAGGGCAGCAGTTGAAGAAGGAGCAAAAAGGGTTTTCTTGTGTGTGTGTGTGTTTCTTTGTGACTGATTGGCTGCTCTCCCTGTGCAAAGGTCAGAGGGGCAGGGTTTCTGTTGAGGCAGGTGATTAGCTGTGGGAGGAGCTTATCAGAGATTGCAGGGCAGCAGTTGAAGAAGGAGCAAAAAGGGTTTTCTTGTGTGTGTGTGTTTCTTTGTGACTGATTGGCTGCTCTCCCTGTGCAAAGGTCAGAGGGGCAGGGTTTCTGTTGAGGCAGGTGATTAGCTGTGGGAGGAGCTTATCAGAGATTGCAGGGCAGCGGCGCAGCCTAGCGGCGCGCGCAGTTTTATCCATCTTTTAGATTTAGGGAGCTAGTCTCAAACGTTTGTTGGGGAAGACCTAGGTTTTTTGTGGGGGAGTTATTTTTCCTGTCTTCACGCTTTTTATGATGGAGGACCACTGTAGCCACCCCCAACGACACGTTCTCAAGATGGAGGGGAGGGAACAGCTGCAGTCGCCTGCGGTTCCTGCGCAATGCTTGCCATCTTGCCAAAGGTTGCAGGCAGCTTTACCTGCAGCAATTGCATGTTGATTGCCCTCTTAAAAGACAAAGTCCAGCAACTGGAGGAACGTGTAGCTACGCTCCAAAGAATTAGAGAGCTGGAGCTCTTCTTGGAAGCAACAGAGCACACCGTCTCCACCAAGGAGGAGACAGGGGACTCCCCTGAGAAGGACGCTAGTTCACCAACACAGGAGCCAGATATATGGAGAAACGTGACTCAAAGAAGTAGGAGGCCCAGGGTTCGCTCTGATTGTTTAGAAATACACAATCGCTTTGAGGTCCTCTCCCCTAGCATGGAAGACGAAGAGCAGACTCCATTTGAGGATCTCTCCCTCATTACAGTCGATCAGGTATATGAAGACGAGCAGCAAAGTCAGTCCTCAGGGAATGTGCAGGCGACCTTGGAGCGGACAGCTCACAGAAGAACCCCGGCCAAACCTAAGAGGAGGCGTGTAGTGGTGATAGGGGATTCCCTACTGAGGGGAACAGAAGCAGTGATCTGTGGGCCTGACAAGATGTCTCGGGAAGTGTGCTGTCTCCCGGGGCTAAGATCCAAGATGTAACTGAACGACTGCAAGGAATCATAAAACCCACTGACAAATACCCCTTCCTCTTGGTTCATGTGGGAACCAATGACACTGCAAGCAATAGCCTCCAGAAGATCAAAAGAGACTACGAGGCTCTGGGCAGGAAATTGAAGCAATTAAATGCACAAATTGTGATCTCATCTGTCCTCCCAGTTGAACGACGTGGCCCAGGGAGAGAGGGGAAAATAGTGGAAGTGAACAGCTGGCTTCGCAAATGGTGTAAACAGGAACGGTTTGGATTCTTAGATCACGGACTGCAGTTTCTTGAAGATGGACTTCTGGCAAGCGATGGGCTGCACCTCACAGCAGTTGGGAGAAATGTTTTTGCCAAAAATCTCAGAAACCTCATCAGGAGGGCTTTAAACTGACTAATGTGGGGAGGGAGATAGTGCTCCTGAAGGTAGGAGTCTATCAATTGATGAAGATGATCATCCAAATGTCATAGACCAAATGGAGCAAACAGCACACAGACCTAGTGGTGGGAGGAAGAAATCCTTAAATAAGAGTCACGGGGAATGATTAATGGACTTCAATGTCTGTACACTAATGCGCAAAGCATGGGAAATAAACAAGATGAGCTTGAGCTCTTGGTACAGCAAACTAAATATGACATAATAGGCATCACTGAAACCTGGTGGGATAAGTCCCACGATTGGAATGTAATAATGGGGGATACAATCTATTTCAGAGAAACAGACCAGACAAGAAAGGAGGAGGAGTGGCGTTATATGTCAGGGATGTGTATACCTGTGAAGAGATCCAAGATTTAGAACCTCAAAGCCAAAGTGAGAGCATTTGGGTCAAAATTAAGGGAGAGAAGAATAACAGTGACCTCATTGTGGGAGTTTACTATAGATCCCCAAGCCAAACGGAGGACATAGATGATGCCTTCCTGGAACAGATGGCCAAGCATGCAAAAGGAAGGGAGATAGTAGTAATGGGGGACTTCAATTACCCGGATATTTGTTGGATGTCAAACTCAGCCAAGAGCATAAGGTCAAACAGATTCCTCACTGGCCTTGCAGACAACTTCATTGTCCAGAAAGTGGGAGAAGCAACAAGAGGAACAGCCATTTTAGATCTGGTCCTAACCAATGTTGATGACCTGGTTAGTGGGGTAGAAGTGGAAGGATCATTAGGCGCAAGTGATCATGCTCTTCTGAAGTTTACTATACAGCGGAAAGGAGCAGCCAAGCATACTAGGACTCAATTTCTTGACTTTAAGAAAGCTGACTTCATAAAACTTAGGGAAGTGCTGGGTGAGATCCCATGGACAGTAATACTAAAAGGAAAGGGAGTTCATGATGGCTGGGAGTTTGTTAAGAGGGAGATACTAAAAGCACAACGTCAGGCAATACCAATGAGACGGAAACATGGAAGGTGCCTAAAGAAGCCAGGGTGGCTATCTAAAGAACTTTTAACTGAGTTAAGATTAAAAAAGGATGTGTACAAAAATGGAAAAGGGGGAAACCACCAAAGAGGAATTCAAACAAATAGCCAGCACGTGTAGACACAAAGTCAGAAAAGCTAAAGCACAGAATGAACTCAGGCTTGCTAGAGAGGTTAAAAGCAACAAAAAGGCTTTTATGGGTATGTCCGTAGCAAAAGGAAGAACAAAGAAACAGTGGGGTCACTCAGAGGAGAAGATGGTGAAATGCAAACAGGGGACACAGAAAGAGCTGAACTCCTCAATGCCTTCTTTGCCTCAGTCTTCTCCGATAAAGAAAACAATGCCCGACCTGAAGAATTTGGAGCAAATGATTCAGCAAAGGAAACACAGCCCAGAATAACTAAGGAGATAGTACAAGAATACTTGGCTAGTTTAGATGTATTCAAGTCTCCAGGGCCAGATGAACTGCATCCAAGAGTATTAAAAGAACTGGCAGATGTGATCTCAGAACCACTGGCAGTCATCTTTGAGAATTCCTGGAGAACAGGCGAAGTCCCGGCAGACTGGAGGAGGGCAAATGTTGTCCCTATTTTCAAAAAGGGGAAAAGAGAGGACCCAAATAATTACCGCCCAGTCAGTCTGACATCAATACCAGGGAAGATTCTGGAGCAGATCATTAAGCAAACAGTCTGTGAGCACCTAGAAAGGAATGCTGTGATCACCAATAGTCAGCATGGATTTCTGAAAAATAAGTCATGTCAGACTAACCTGATCTCGTTTTTTGACAGAATTACAAGCCTGGTGGATGAAGGGAACGCAGTGGATGTAGCCTACCTTGATTTCAGCAAGGCATTTGACAAGGTGCCTCATGATATTCTTGTAAAGAAGCTGGTAAAATGTGGTCTTGACTATGCTACCACTCAGTGGATTTGTAACTGGCTGACTGACCGAACCCAAAGGGTGCTCATCAATGGTTCCTCTTCATCCTGGAGAAGAGTGACTAGTGGGGTGCCACAGGGTTCTGTCTTGGGCCCGGTCTTATTCAACATCTTTATCAACGACTTGGGTGATGGACTCAAGGGCATCCTGATCAAATTTGCAGATGACACCAAATTGGGAGGGGTGGCTAACACCCCAGAGGACAGGATCACACTTCAAAACGACCTTGACAGATTAGAGAACTGGGCCAAAACAAACAAGATGAATTTTAACAGGGAGAAATGTAAAGTATTGCACTTGGGCAAAAAAAATGAGAGGCACAAATACAAGATGGGGGACACCTGGCTTGAGAGCAGTACATGTGAAAAGGATCTAGGAGTCTTGGTTGACCACAAACTTCACATGAGCCAACAGTGTGACGCGGCAGCTAAAAAAGCCAATGCAATTCTGGGCTGCATCAATAGGAGTATAGCATCTAGATCAAGGGAAGTAATAGTGCCACTGTATTCTGCTCTGGTCAGACCTCACCTGGAGTACTGTGTCCAGTTCTGGGCACCACACTTCAAGAAGGACATTGACAAACTGGAACGTGTCCAGAGGAGGGCAACCAAAATGGTCAAAGGCCTGGAAACGATGCCTTATGAGGAACGGCTAAGAGAGCTGGGCATGTTTAGCCTGGAGAAGAGGAGGTTAAGGGGTGATATGATAGCCATGTTCAAATATATAAAAGGATGTCACATAGAGGAGGGAGAAAGGTTGTTTTCTGCTGCTCCAGAGAAGCGGACACGGAGCAATGGATCCAAACTACAAGAAAGAAGATTCCACCTAAACATTAGGAAGAACTTCCTGACAGTAAGAGCTGTTCGACAGTGGAATTTGCTGCCAAGGAGTGTGGTGGAGTCTCCTTCTTTGGAGGTCTTTAAGCAGAGGCTTGACAACCATATGTCAGGAGTGCTCTGATGGTGTTTCCTGCTTGGCAGGGGGTTGGACTCGATGGCCCTTGTGGTCTCTTCCAACTCTATGATTCTATGATTCTATGATTCTATGATTCCAGACTCCTCATTATGTTAGTAATGATTAGGGCTGGGCAATATATCGTCCCAAACTAGGTTGAAGTCTACATCATGATACCAGTTTCATAGTTTTTGACCTGGCAATGTATCATGAATCATGATGCGTGCTAAGGCTGCGCGATATATTGTTCAAAACTGGTTTCAAGTCCATATCGTGATATTGGTTTCATAATTTTTGACCTGGCAATGTATTGCAAATCATGGTGTGTGTGAGAGAGAGCTATTCAAAAATAACAATGAGAGAAAAACTGTGAAGGTAGCCAATGCCTCTACATAGCTCCATCTTTGGACTCAGCTACATTAGTAAAGAAACAGTGATTTGAATGCAGTATAAACATGCAACACCAGATGGTGCCAAAGAGCAGGAAATTTCAAAACACGATTTTCCATAGAGATTTTTTTTCTTTTGTTATAATGATCTAATTTCTGATTTATTAATAGCAGGTTTTTCCTGTGTCTAGATCCACACCTTATTTCAGACCTTGTGATATATTAGCGTATTGTGATGTTTAGCTGGTGATATATCGCGATGCTGAAAACCGGACATCGCCCAGCCCTAGTAACGACCCAACTTTCCACGGTGTCAGAGAAGATCGCGGTGCGCAGAAATGTGGCAAAATCTCCAACCCCTTTCCTCACAAATTGTCCTATTTACTGTAGCCTGACTACTACGGAGTAGGCAGACTAAGGAATGTAGCCTTCATGTGTAAAACTCTCCGCTTTGCATCTGAACAAAAGAGACTCATTTGAAACATCAACCTGATATTTTCTTGGAATATGCAACAAAAACTGTAGAACTAAAAGTGATGGTAGCCTTTCAACAATGCTCTTTACAGCAAGTGTTTTAACTCCTACTTTAGAAACAGTGCAGAGACATCTAACTCCGAGATAATTACCTGTCTCCTTTCTGGATCTCAGAAGGTGTTTCTTTCTGTTCATTTCACTGTCAGGGAAAGAAGCACTGTCAGTAAAGTTCTAGTCACTTCCACTTATTAAAAAGAGCTCTATTTTCTCACACCTGATCTTCAGCTGTGGAGTGCTTCAAATAATACCGACACCATCCATACATTCTTATTCGCTAGATTAACGGTCTCTATGCACATCATACACAAAAACAATGAGAGTCAAGAACTGAACCCTGATGAAGATGTTAATGGCACGTCACACAAGATAACTGAATTCTCTTCCCGGCATCATTTAACCACCTTGAACCTGTACGCAAAAAAAGAGGCTGGCAATCATTGCCCCCCTGGATCTGTCTTTAAAACTCAGCAGTCTTTGCTTCTTTTGTACTAGTACAAAGGATGTAAACGTGACGAGAAAGAAGATAAAACTTGAATTGAGAAGAGTCAGAACGCATTGCTGCCGAATGATCGCAAAGATGAGTTCTTCGTCCTGTTCAGGCATTTCCTCACATGTTCACTGAACATGTTAGAGTTTGAGGCAGGGGGCAGGACTCTATTCCTGGCCATACCTCTGACCGACATGTTGTTGTTGTTGTTGTTTAGTCGTTTAGTCATGTGCGACTCTTCATGACCCCATGGACCAGAGCAAGCCAGGCACTCCTGCCTTCCACTGCCTCCCGCAGTTTGGTCAAACTCATGCTGGTAGCTTCGAGAACACTGTCCAACCATCTCGTCCTCTGTCATCCCTTTCTCCTTGTGCCCTCAATCTTTCCCAACATCAGGGTCTTTTCCAGGGAGTCTTCTCTTCTCATGAGGTGGCCAAAATATTGGAGCCTCAGCTTCAGGATCTGTCCTTCCAGTGAGCACTCAGGGCTGATTTCCTTCAGAATGGATAGGTTTGATCTTCTTGCAGTCCATGGGACTCTCAAGAGTCTCCTCCAGCACCATAATTCAAAAGCATCAATTCTTTGGTGATCAGCCTTCTTTATGGTCCAGCTCTCACTTCCATACATCACTACTGGGAAACTGACCAGCATACCTTCAGTTGAATGCATGAAAAGGGCCCTGATGTGCACAGGACAATTTCCAGGAACAGCACCGGATTTACAGAAGCCGTTCCGCTTTCTGATTTGATCCCAGAATGTCCCATTTTGCCTTAGGACATCCCTATTTTCACTGGAGAAATGCTGGAGTGTATGGAGTTATGCAACCCCAAGCCAAGGAGATAAGCAACTAGACAACTTTTGGAAGACATCTGAAGGCAGCCCTGGATAAGGAAGTTTGTTTTAGTATGTGGTCATATATGTTGGAAGCTGGCTAGTGTGGCTGGGGCAGCCCAGTCAGATGTTAAAAATAGGATGCCCCTGTTTCCATCAGAAAAATGTTGGGAGGGAATGGGAAGGGAATGTTGGGAGGACGTCTCTGTTTTCATTGGAGAAATTTTGGACGGTATGGAGTTATCCGACCCCCAAGCTATCTGAAGGCAGCCCTGTATAGGAAAGTTTTTTAATGTTTAATGTTTTATTATGTTTTCTATACAGTGGTACCTCGGTCTACGAACAGCCCTATTAACAAACTATTCGGTGTACGAACTCTACAAAACCGGAAGTAGGTGTTCTGGTTAGCGAACTTTGCCTCGGAAGACGAACAGAAGATGAACAGTGGAAAGGCACCGGAGGCTGGAGGCCTCAGTAGGGAAAGCACGCCTTGGTTTAAGAATGCTTTGGTTTAAGAACGGACTTCCAGAATGAATTAAGTTCGTAAACCGAGGTAGCACTGTATATATTAGAAGCCCAGTAAAGTTCTGGCTAAGCTCAACACCAAAAAAACTAAGATCATGGCCACTGGTCCCATCACCTCCTGGCAAATAGAAGGGGAAGAAATGGAGGCAGTGAGAGATTTTAATTTCTTGGGCTCCATGATAACTGCAGATAACTGCAGATGGTGACAGCAGTCATAAAATTAAAAGACGCCTGCTTCTTGGGAGAAAAGCAATGACAAACCTAGACATCATCTTAAAAAGCAGAGACATCACCTTGCTGACAAAGATCCGTTTAGTTAAAGCTATGGTTTTCCCAGTAGTGATGGAAATGAAAACTGGACCATAAAGAAGGTTGATCGCCGAAGAATTGATGCTTTTGAATTATGGTGCTGGAGGAGACTCTTGAGAGTCCCATGGACTGCAAGAAGATCAAACCTATCCATTCTGAAGGAAATCAGCCCTGAGTGCTCACTGGAAGGACAGATCCTGAAGCTGAGGCTCCAATACTTTGGCCACCTCATGAGAAGAGAAGACCAGGGAAAGACCCTGATGGTGGGAAAGATGGAGGGCACAAGGAGAAGGGGACGACAGAGGACGAGATGGTTGGACAGTGTTCTCGAAGCTACCAGCATGAGTTTTACCAAACTGCGGGAGACAGTGGAAGACAAGAGTGCCTGGAGTGCTCTGGTCCATGGGGTCACGAAGAGTCAGACACGACTGAACGACTAAACAATAACAACAAAGTTCTGGCTGGGGTCATGTAGCATCCAGTTAACTCTCCTCCCCTTTAGGTAAAGGTAAAGGGACCCCTGACCATTAGGTCCAGTCATGGCCGACTCTGGGGTTGTGGCGCTCATCTCGCTTTATTGGCTGAGGGAGCCGGCGTACAGCTTCCGGGTCATGTGGCCAGCATGACTAAGCCACTTCTGGCGAACCAGAGCAGCGCACGGAAACGCCGTTTACCTTCCCGCCAGAGCGGTACCTATTTATCTACTTGCACTTTGACGTGCTTTCGAACTGCTAGGTTGGCAGGAGCAGGGACTGAGCAATGGGAGCTCACCCCGTCGCGGTGATTCAAACCGCCGACCTTCTGATCGGGAAGTCCTAGGCTCTGTGGTTTAACCCTACAGTCCTATTTAGCCCCCATACTGATTCTATGTGTATATGCCACGAAAGGCACTAAATTGTGCACTGGCCTTCACCCAATATTATCAACATCAAAATGATGGTTGGTGGGAAACGTCCTTCTGAATGATCCAATTAAATAAATGCATCTGGAAGGGTTTCGTGCCAGATCCCTCAAGGACAGGACAAGGTCCTCTAGAAAGCTACAACAGATCTTGAGATTACTGGGCACTAACTTAGAAAGTCCCAGCAAGCAAATTACGAAGCAATTCACAAAACACATCTTAAACGCAGGAAATTCCTGGTTGCATGCTGACATGGGCAAATATCATGCTAACCAAGTGATATGGATATTGTAAACAATGATTCCCACAAGTGCATGCTTTTTGCAATGTGGAAGTCACAGAAATTGAGGAGGGAGGGTCCTGGTATGTGGTCTGGACGGGCTGAGCCTTTGGAGGCCGGATTGTAAGGTCTCTTCCATACCATACGAGGAGAGGAAATTCCCATGTGGCTCTGGGCAGCAGGAAACAACGGAGCATGCCCTTCTTCATGGCCAGTATTTATATAGACATTCGAGCCAGGTTTATCCAGCCCATCCTATATATATTCCAAGGGCATTCAGAACAACACAACATCTCCCTATTACTACAGGACGACAGCCCAGAAGTCACATATTCAGTCACCAGATTCTGAACTGCCATGACAGATATTCATCAAAGGATGGTCTATGCTACAAATCAGTCCTAAAATAAAGGCCCATATTGTTAGATCTGTATCACTGAAGCCCCACCTCATATAGCTGTTTTAACTGATCTTTTTTAATTCTTCTTATTAGTTTTTATTCACCCATTATTTATGCTTAATCAAGTATTCTATGTAAATGTTTTAATCTACAGTTGGTTCTTGCTCCCATTTAATAATTTTTCGCTTAGATTCATACTGTTATTTATTTAGATGTTTTGTTTATGCTGGTCTGTGTCCGAATAAAGTAAATTCATTCATTCAAGGTCTCTTCCCATGAGTTTTTCAGCCACGGCTCAGAAGCTGCTGTGAAAGCTGTTGAAACAGTGGGGAAGAATTGATGCCCATTAAAGCGGCATTGAAGGAATGGGTTTCTGTGCAGTCAGTTTGAAACGGGACCCAAATCCACTCCAAAAAAAGAACTCTTTCTCTGAACCAACCCTCAGTGTCATTTGACTTCCTTCCTCCCGTCCGGGAGCAACGCTCACCCTACCAATTGGTGAAGTCCAATAAGGCTACAGCATAACCAGAAGCCTCACATAGATAATTATATTTGTTGGGATTTGTGTAACCAAGATCTGCTTGCTTTTCCGAAGAAGCAAACCAAGTGGTATAAATTGCTTTTAACTTGCCTTGCTTTTGACTTGGTATTTTCTATATCAGTGAGATCCTTGGGCTGCCCTTTACAGAGCTAGCACAAGCTCCTGTTCACGTTTCATACTTTTGTCAGACATGGATTTAGGGTGACTGGGACTGTTCATATGGATCTGCTGCAGTAGCTCCCAGAGAAGACACAGTGATCTGTCTTTTCCTGTAACATGCCCTGTTTCCTTCCTTCCTTATTCCTGCCCTACCTTTAGTTATAATCCCTTTTCAAGCCTCCCGCCAGTCAGGTGAATATTTCCATGCTACTTTTGAGAGGCAAAGAAATCCAAACCATCCCAGAATCACTAGCAATAGTCTTGCTCTGCCCTCATGTGGTTAATTCAACAAATGCAACAATCACATAACAAGTCTGTTATAATACATCCAAATAAATTAGGGCAAGCCAATGATAAGGCAAAACAATAAACTTTACCTTGTATAGAAATAAAATATAAGGGGCGCTTTCTAATACAGTGGTACCTTGGTTTACAAACTTAATCCGTTCCAGAAGTCCATTCTTAAACCAAAGCGTTCTTAAACAAAGGTGTGCTTTCCCATAGCAGCGAGGGACTCAATTTACAAATGGAACACACTCAACAGGACGTGGAACATGTTCTGCTTCCAAGGCAAAGTCCACAAACCAAAGCACCTACTTCTGGGTTTGCAGCATTCTTAATCCAAGTTGTTCATAAACTAAGCTGTTCTTAAACCAAGGTACCACTGTATACCATTTGTCGCACTGTAGTAGTGTGGTGCTGTGGTCTAAACCACTGAGCCTTGGGCTTGCCGATCAGAAGGTCGGTGGTTCGAATCCCCGCAACAGGGTGAGCTCCCGTTGTTCGGTCCCTGCTCCTGTCAACCTAGCAGTTCAAAAGCAAGTCAAAGTGCAAGTAGATAAATAGGTACCACTCCAGCGGGAAGGTAAACGGCATTTCCATGCACTGCACTGGCTCACCAGAAGCGGCTTAGTCATGCTGGCCACATGACCCGGAAGCTGTCTGCGGACAAACACCAGCTCCTTCGGCCAGTTAAGCGAGAGGAGCGCCACAACCCCCGAGTCGTCCATGACTGGACTTAACAGTCAGGGGTCCATTTACCTTAGTTGCTGTTTCCCCTAATGTTTTCTGTCGCAAATCTTGGAGTGGGTCATCTATACTACAGTGGTACCTCAGGTTATATACGCTTCAGGTTACATACGCTTCAGGTTACAGACTCCACTAACCCAAAAATAGTACCTCGGGTTAAGAACTTTGCTTCAGGATAAGAACAGAAATTGTGCTCCGGTGGCGCAGCAGCAGCGGGAGGCCCCATTAGCTAAAGTGGTGCTTCATGTTAAGAACAGTTTCAGGTTAAGAACGGACCTCCGGAACGAATTAAGTACTTAACCCGAGGTACCACTGTACTACTGTATGTTTCTGTTCTTTAGAGTATCATTGCAGTTTCCTGTGTCCACAGCAATGATGGAATGTGTTCAGACCGAGAAAAGTTCTGTGGTTGTCATCACATTCAGTTCCAATCCCTGCTTCCTCCAACCAGCAAATCCCAGTGTTATGAGCAGGTGCACCGGATACCAACAGTCCTTTCACAGGGTTGCTAGTTGTTCTTCTTGTTTGGTATATTCTTCTTTGGTTTGTTTGCTATCCTGAAATTCTGTTTGTGACAGAAATTAGAAAGCAGCACGTTGACTCTTTTGACCAGAGCTATGACCAGCTCCCATTGTTCTAGGCATGTTTTGTGACTGGGAATTTCATCAGCGGGAGTGGTTTCTGGGAGCAGTACTGCACCTAAAATTTCAGATTAAAACTGCAGAGTGGAAGGAAAGTAAGAGCTTTTTCTGCCTCCACACTTCCAGCTACTCTCTGAAGGCAGGAGAAGAGACCCTCTTAAGAATATTAGGGGGTTGCCTACTAAATGCCACGCACAGGAAGAACAAGGATATAGTTTGAGTGCCTCACTTGTAGTTCTATAAATCATTTAATGTGTCAACACAAATAGAAGTTATTAATATTGCAGTTGTTGTATAAGTGATTATTTTGACCGGAATCTAATTGAGATTAATAAGATTTTGGAATGCAGAAATAAAGAAAATCATCAAATCAATTCTAGCATGCCAGGTGGGGCACCTAAATTATATAATTCGGTATTAGAATAATTGGTATTAGTAACTGTATTATAATTTGGTGTTGTTATAATGAGGCTATTATTGGGTGGAAATTGAAAATTAATAAAAAGTATTATCAAAGAATATTAGGGGAGTGGGCAGGGGAAGGACAAGAGCATGTGAAAAATGAACAAAATATTTTAGCTGCAGTTCATTCATTTTCAGCTTTGTATTCTTGTTATTAAAAAAAGTGTGCCTAGACATTCCGTTGTTGCGCCCATAACCTAGATTTAAGGTGTCATTTAGCTCCTAGCTTTCATGTCTGTTTCTAACACTGGCTATGACTAACCTCCTGTCAAAGAAAAGCTGGTGGAGGGGTGTCGTGAAATGGAAGTTACTCAAGGCCCACACTCTGAATACCATGCAAAATGCATAGTATTGTGCAAAACACTTTTCATGCCTTGGAAATATCGCAGAACCAGTACAGACCTTTCAAAAATGCCAGGTAGTTTCATGACTGTGATATCCAGGCATAGCAATGGAATGATAACAGCATCTTGTGGAAACATATAGAATTAAAAACAAAACAAAACACTAAAATAAGTGCTTAAAAACAGTATGTCTGTCAAGGCCAAAAGTTAGGTAAGCACTAAGAATTATCAGTTTGCCGGTACAACAGACTAGTAAGGGGGTTTGCATCAGTATTAAAAAGTCAAACTGCATTTAAAAACAACCAAGCAGTATGTGGTATCTTGCCAGGGGAATTTTGAGGGGGCCTAGCCCTTCTTGAAAATTCCCCACCGCCATGGCAAGTCTTGATTTTAATGCATCTATGTGGTTTAGGTGTGTCTATTTGTTTGGTTGTAAGTTGCTTTGGGATGCCCTGGGCAAGATAAAACAACTGATAAATTTAATAAATAATAATTTATCTTTATTATCTTTATTATTATTATCTTTAGCTATGTAGATTCTTATTCAACAAGTTTTGATATGCTTAATAATTTCAACTTTATGATTTGTACTGAGGCATTTCACCTACCAAGTCATATCTCTGGGGTTTTTTCCGCATGCGGGCAAATTATTACACTGGCTGGTTTGCAGTTATCCAGTAAGCTATTTTTGTAAATGCATATTTTCATTAGAACATTAAGAACTCAGGTGTGTGATCTTTAGACATGAAGTGCATTTTTCATTTGTTCATTAACCCCAGAACTTCACCTCCATCTGAAGAAAGCAGTTCAGGCATCATTATTGATCCAGCATTTTCTGCACTGGCACAGAACATTCAATCAACTTCTGGACAATCTCCATACTCCCTTCCAACCTTTGTCATATAATGAATGGCCCAACTCCCACCCTACTCATGATGCCCCTGAACACACTTTGTTTAAGGATCACGATCCTCAAACTCTATTGGCTTCCCTGAATCTCAATTTGGAGGAAAGGTGGCATATGAATACATTAGATAAAATACTTTCCCACCTGCTTGGCAGATCACGCAAAGGCCTTTAGGTGATATGGGCTATATATATATATCTTTTTCTATATGAACTCCGCAACACTCCAACCATTAACAAAGTAATATTCAGTCGCTTTTTTTTTCTCTGGATGTGGGTAAATAGAATTTTTTCCTTATCCAGGGAAAACAATAACCTTATACTGAATGAGTACCTAGCTTGCACATATTTTTTCTTCTTCTTAATGATGCTCCAAAGGTTTCTGGAAAACCTACAGCTTCAGTTCAGGGGCAGAGTTCAAATCCCTGACCACTGCATTTAGGGAATGACCTGGAGCAAGGCACTACCCCCGAGATTTTGTAACTCATTTGTAAAATAGCAACAACTCATTACAGAACGTTGCTGCGAGGAAAGACATTGCGGCACATGGTAAAGGTGGAAAGGCTAAAGGCTTCAGCTGCAGTAATGCTATACCAAAAGCATACAGTCTTACTTCGGGTTGAAGTTGCTTCAGGTTGAGCGCTTTCGGGTTGCGCTCCGTGGCGACCCGGAAGTAACGGAACGTGTTACTTCCGGGTTTCGCCGCTCGCGCAGATGGTCAAAATGATGTCACGCGCATGCACAGAAGTGGCAAATCGTGACCCGCGCACATGCGCAGACGCGGATTGCGTTCGCTTCAGGATGCGAATGGAGCTCCAGAACGGATCCCGTTCGTATCCAGAGGTACCACTGTAGTCAGTATCTAGATGAGAGATGATCCAGGAATCTCCTTATACCACCTTGACTTCTATGGGAGGACATTAACATATTGAAGGGATAGAACCATCAGAGCAGCCTTCACAAAATGTCATGCCTTTCAGATGATGGTTTGGACTACAACTCCCATCAGCCTCAGCGAGCATGGCCAATGGTTCATAACTGTTGGAGGTCACCAAGTTGGGAAAGCCTGTGTTAGACAATGTGGAAGAAGAACACAAAAAAGATGAGCCGACATGCTTATAACTTTATTGAACAATGATTGCGCAAACTTCTACTGTACTCCACAGGAAAGGTTAAGCGGCTGAAGGTATTGATCACAGTTGGATTTTGAGAATATTTGTTGAGGGTGTTCAAGAGATAGTTGGGGGGTGAGATCCTTTCTTCCCACCTTCTTAACCTGGAGGCCAACCCATCTGACGGCCACCGAGGACATGGAGATGCACATGGTAGACAGACTGACCGCCATCCGGCCCTTCGTTCACCACCATTCGGTATCCCCTCGTCAAGCCTAATTCAGCTGCACATTTCTTGCCCACAATCATTAAGTGTCCGAGAAGCTGGGAAAAGAAAAAGAAAAACACACCAATAAAGCAAACATTCAGATTTTATGGAGCAGCTAAGGAGTGTTCAGTTGGAAAAGTGCACATATACACTGCCACCAGGAGTTTCAGATATTCAACATCCCTCAGATGGACGTCAATTCACTCCTTTTCAAGCGCTGCCTAAAGTGGGACTCACAGATCTTGCCTCTAGCTAGAAACATAATCTTCAAAGTTCACACACAGGTTGATCTAGCAGCCCCTAATGTTTTGTGGTTTTCCACACCCTTCTTGAGAAGTTCCTGAATCACTCCTGGGGTTCATTCGTTGTTCAAAATAATGAAAAAAGAACTTGAGCCAAGACTTTGTGTATACGTAAATCAATAAATACACATTTCAGGAGCAAATATTTCAGAGACATCTAGTTGAGTTTTCAAAGATTTAAGGGTAACTATCTAACTGCCATGTGTCCTCCTAGTCAAGCTAATAATCTAAGATACTGTGGATGAAAAAGCAAAGTTACACCAACACTTATTTTCCTTTTTCAAGTATCACATTCTTTGCTGTTAGTTTATGATGCAAAGGAACCAGCGAGGAGGATGTGCTTCAAAATGTTAACCTAAGCACTGAAGAAATGTGTAGTATCCGTTTCCCTATTTTATTATTCTTGCTGGAATGTTGGTGTTAGTTGTCCAAACCTTTCATGTCATTGCCAGGGAAATTTTAATATCAACCTATTCATTTCCAATCCCATGTTAACTTTGCAAAAGGGCAATAAAACATTGTGCATTCCACCATTCTGAGCCACATAATACACATTTTAACACCATTTTGTTTTCTATTAACCATTTCAAATCAATTTCACAACTGCATCAATTCATGACTCGGGTTGCAGAGATGAGTTCTCACATTTCAGCATATGAAAGTGAGTTTTATTTAACTCTCCTCTTTCCTGGCATGCACTGAATAGTTGTATAGTGCCAACCAACTATACTTGCAAAATGGGAAAACTATTTACATTATAGTGCCTCATATCAGAGCAATTGACATTTCATGTCTCCTGACTTTTGTTTATTAAAGTAGTGATGCACGCTTGTCCAATATAAATGGACTGTACACTTTTAAGCTTGACCACGAGGACATAATCTGGTCGTTTTAAAATTCATAATTATATAACTAAAAACAGACAGTAAGATTTTATTTTTGCATTTATATTCCACCTTTCCTTCATGGAGCTCAAGATGGCATATATGTGCCTTCTTCCACCATAATATCCTCACAACAGGCTGTGAAGTAGGTTAGGCCGAGAATTGGTGACTGGCCTAGGAAACCTAGTGAGCTTCATGTCTGAATGAAGATTTGAACCCAGACACCCCCAAGCACTACACCACACTTTCTCAGAATGGGTTCAAGGCAGAGACGGGGAACTTCTTTCAGCATGGACAATTGTCAGGAATGATGGGAGGTGTAAGTCCAACACCTCAAGGAGCACAGGTTCTGTATCTATCTATTCCTAATTTCAGGTACATCCAAGGATAATTTCTGATGCAATAAAGTTGTCCCATGAGCAAACATATATGGTAATTCTGATGGTAACATCAGAAATTAATCCACTACCTAATTTCTGCAATGGAAGCACGGTAGAATAGAAATGCAAGCAAATAAAAATAATAAAAAATAGAGCAAACTATAGTCCACAGAGCACCAGGAAGATGCAACCTCTGTTGTGGTTCTTATACGCAACACAAGAGCAAAAAAGGTTTGAGGCATACAACAGAATGGTTTTAGGATTTGTTTGGAAAGCTTGTAGTGGGAAGCGAGATAAGAGCAGCATTTATTCTTAGCTTTGCTGAAAAGTCAAAAAGCAGAACACCACTTAAAAGCCTTTGTGCAATACTTACAGCTTCATCAGAATCTTGCGCTTGAGATATCTGAGCAATAGGCTTCTTTGGAACTACTAGGAAATGGGTTGGAGCTTGTGGGGAAACGTCATGGAATGCAAGGCACTGCAGGGGAGAGGGAAGAGAAAGAGAGAGGATCAATTTTTTTAGACACCATTCTTTTAAAAGCCAAGGATAAGACACATGCAAGAATTATTTTCAAGCAATTTTAATTCTTCCCATAACTAGAAACTAATTTTTTACTAGAACACAGTTTTACGGAGTCTCTAGAGCTCGTTACAGTGGTACCTTGGTTTGCCTGTGTCTTGCTTTGCATACGTTTTGGATTACAAACACATCAAACCTGGAAGTGCGTGTCCCAGTTTGCAACATTTTTTTGGATTCCAACCCATTTTTTTGGATTACGAACAAATTTCTTTTGGAGGCCCCACTGGCAAAAGCGCGCCTTGGGTTACAACCTGTTTTGGTTTACAAACGGACCTCCGGAACAGATTATGGTTGTAAACCAAGGTACCACTGTATATGGGACTGGAGTCTCTTTGCAAGGCAGCAGAACAGACTTAGCATCTTAAATGATGACATAAGCAGTTGATCTCCAGAAATACTGTAGGCTAAATGTAGCTCTGGTTTCTAGTTTCAACCCAGTATTTATTACTATTACAGCTGACAAGGATGGAGATCCTAACTCTCAGTGCTTTTTCTGGGGGTACCCAAGGGTACTCAGAACTGCAACTTTTTCCAATTGTTAAAAGTGTGGCACTTACTGTAACAACTTCGTGATGAGTATCAGCGAGGGCTGGGCAATATCTACCCAAGGCTGACACACATTTCCGGGGCAGATTTTTTCAGACTCATGTAGTTGAGTTTTCAAAGATTTCAGGGTAGCTATATAACTGCCATAAGTCCTCCTAGTCAAGCTAATAATCTAAGATACTGTGGATTCAAAAACAGTTACATCAACACTTATTTTCCTTTTTCAAGCATCACATTATTTGCTGTTAGTTTATGATGCAAAAGATTCAAAGAGGAGAATATGCTTCAAAATGTTAACCTAAGCACTGAAGAAATGTGTAGTACCCATTTCCTTATTTTATTATTGTTGCTGCAACATTGGCATTAGTTGTCCAAACCTTTCATGCCATTGCCAGGGAGATTTTACTATCAATGTATTCATCACCCATCCCATGTTAACTTTGCACAAGGGTAATAAAACATCTTGCAGTCCACCATTCTGAGCCACATAATACACATTTTAATACCATCTCACTATTAACCATTTCAAATCAATTTCACGTAGCTATGACAACTGCATCAATTGTGACATGACTTGGGTTGCAGAGATGAGTTGTCACATCTCAGCAGATGAAAGAGAATTTTATGTAACACTCCTTTTCTGGCTTGGAATTATTATTGCTGTTGTTGTTGAAAGTGAGTTTTATTTAACTCTCCTCTCTTCCTGCATGCAATTATTATTGTTTTTCATTTGTACTTCGCCCATCCAACTGGGCTGCTCCAGCCACTCTGGGTCAACTTCATCAATTTTAAGATTCACCACTCAGGTTGCAGAGATTAGTTCTCACATTTCAGCAGATGAAAGTGAGTTTCATTTAACTCTCCTCTTTCCTTGCATGCAATTATTATTGTTGTTGAAAGTGAGTTTTATCTAACTCTCCTCTTTTCTGGCATGCAATTATTATTGTTGCTGTGGTTTATTCAGTGCTGGATTTAAGTATAAGCTAAACAAGCTATAGCTTAGGGGCCCCCAAAAAAATTAAAGGGAAAAAACTGGCTGTACATTTCCAAAATATAAGATAAAAAACAAATAAAACCTACATACAGCAACAGTGTTTTGTGTTGTGTAGGCTCCTATTTTGTTATGTGCAAATACCTTTAGATACCTATTAGGTCCATAAATTACTGCATAGCATATACTCAGCACATAAAAACAGCAACAAATTGTTGTTGACAAAGAACAGCTGAACATATAAAGGGCCCCATTACCTTCAGTAGCTTAGGGCCTCATCAAACCTAAAGCTGTCCCAGGGTTTATTTGTACCTCGCCCATCAGACTGGGTTGCTCCAGCCACTCTGGGCAGCTCCCAGCATATATAAAGGTAAAGGGACCCCTGACTCTGGGGTTGCGGCGCTCATCTCGCTTTATTGGCCGAGGGAGCAGGCGTACAGCTTCCAGGTCATGTGGCCAGCATGACACTTCTGGCGAACCAGAGCAGCGCATGGAAACGCTGTTTACCTTCCCACTGGAGTGGTACCTATTTATCTACTTGCACTTTGACGTGCTTTCCAACTGCTAGGTTGGCAGGAGCAGGGACCGAGCAATGAGAGCTCACCCCGTCGCGGGGATTCGAACCGCTGACCTTCTGATCGGCAAGTCCTAGGCTCTGTGGTTTAACCCACAGCGCCACCTGCATCCCTCCCCAGCATATATAAAAACATAGTAAAGCACTTTTTAAAATTGCACGTTTTACCAGCATATATAAAAACATAAAGGGACATGGGTGGCACTGTTGGTTAAACCACCTCGGCTGCTCCTGCCAGCCTAGCAGTTCGAAAGCACGTAAAAGTGCAAGTAGATAAATAGGTACCGCTCTTGCGGGAAGGTAAACGGCGTTTCCATGCGCTGCTCTGGTTCGCCAGAAGCCGCTTAGTCATGCTGGCCACATGACCTGGAAGCTGTATGCCGGCTCCCTCAGCCAATAAAGCGAGATGAGCATCGCAACCCCAGAGTTGGCCACGACTGGACCTAATGGTCAGGGGTCCCTTTACCTTTATAAAAACATAGAAAAACACTTTTTCAATTGCACATTTTAATACAGTGGTACTTCGGGTTAAGAACTTAATTCATTCTGGAGGTCTGTTCTTAACCTGAAACTGTTCTTAACCTGAAGCACCACTTTAGCTAATGGGGCCTCCTGCTGCTGCCGCGTCAACGGAGCACGATTTCTGTTCTCATCCTGAAGCAAAGTTCTTAACCTGAGGTACTATTTCTGAGTTAGCGGAGTCTGTAACCTGAAGTGTATGTAACCTGAGGTACCACTGAACCATCTCATTTTTCTGCGAACCATTCCATTAAACCTGAGACCTTGGTTCATAGAATCATAGAATCATAGAATCATAGAATCATAGAGTTGGAAGAGACCACAAGGGCCATCAAGTCCAACCCCCTGCCAAGCAGGAAACACCATCAGAGCACTCCTGACATATGGTTGTCAAGCCTCTGCTTAAAGACCTCCAAAGAAGGAGACTCCACCACACTCCTTGGCAGCAAATTCCACTGTCGAAGAAGCTCTTGCTGTCAGGAAGTTCTTCCTAATGTTTAGGTGGAATCTTCTTTCTTGTAGTTTGGATCCATTGCTCCGTGTCCGCTTCTCTGGAGCAGCAGAAAACAACCTTTCTCCCTCCTCCATGTGACATCCTTTTATATATTTGAACATGGCTATCATATCACCCCTTAACCTCCTCTTCTCCAGGCTAAACATGCCCAGCTCCCTTAGCCGTTCCTCATAAGGCATCGTTTCCAGGCCTTTGACCATTTTGGTTGCCCTCCTCTGGACACATTCCAGTTTGTCAGTGTCCTTCTTGAAGGTTGAAGGAGCCTTTTGGCGCCCAGCTTATATAGCCGAGTTTCGACCACTGCGGACGGAGCCCCCGTCCCCCAGCTTCGAGGGCGGGCCTTTGGCCAGGCCCAGCGCAGGTCTCCCTCAGCCGCTGGCCCTTCGCGGTGCTGCCAGGCCCCGCCGGGGTCTCCGCTCAGCCCGTCGCCCTCCTCCTCACCTTCTCGTCCTCGAAGATGATCTTCGCCGGGATCTCTTTGCGGATGATCTTCCCGAAGATGGTGTCCCCTCCCGGCTGCGCCACCTGCGCTTTGCTGATCTCCTCAGCCATCGCGAACCGCCGCCTCACGCGACCCGCTCGCTCGCTCGCCCCGCCTTCCGCATCGCGGCCCCACCCCCTCCGGTTTCATCCAACCAATGATAGACCTTCACGAGGCTAGCCGACCGCTCGCAAAGAGTCATTCCGGGGCCTTATTGGCTTCCCTTCCCGTCCGTCAACTTTCTCCCCGCCTTTCCCGCCGTTTTCTAACTACGCGTCAATCAGGGCGCGCGCTCCAGGGAAAGGGGCGGGGATAAGGGTGCAACGCGCCGTCCGAATTGGTCGCTCTAGTAGTCCTTTTCTTCTCCGTGATTCGTTCTCCCTCCCTTCTAGCGCGCAGCTCTATGGCGTTAACCCTTCTCTTTCCAAGTAGGACTGTTGCTAAATACATGTTGCCACTTTGCAAAGGCGCCTCAGTCGAAAATGAGATGACAGCTAATGGGGAGGCAAATGTATGGCGCCGTACGCCGTGGTCCCCATGAAACATCTACCCCCGATTCAGATTTTGGGACTGGGGAAAGGGGCCTGGCTATTCCTCCAATAGGGAGTAATGCTTATCTAGGACCCCACTGTTTTCTGCTTCATTCATATCAGCTTCAAGGCAAGTTGAGAAAAAAGAACGAGCTCCTCCTGGCTGCATTTTAAAGCCAATAATGTGCGCACAAGCCAGAAGCAGTTGAGCTGAAGACCGGGCTTATCTTTGGTTGCAGGCTGCGTCTCCCTTGGGGTGAGCATCACAAAAAAGGAAGACTGTAAAGTCTGCATATGCTAGCACGTATGTAAGTGTAGAAATAATTATTATTTTTGAATGCAACCCATCTCCTTTGGGTGACTGTGTGACTCGCTCTCGGGCTGCTGTCCCGGTGCTGACCGGCAACTCCGAGGCCCCTGCTCTCCCTTCTGACTTCTCCCTTCTTAACTTTAGGCTACTGTCGGAAAGCTCTGCAAATAGAAGTCACCTTAAAGCAGAGGATCGATGCTATCTGGAAAGCAGGACCTAGAGCCCTGCTGCTGTTTCCGGAGGTCTGATCCTCCTAAGCACCACAAGGCCGCTGGCAACAACTTCTACCTTGTACATCAACCAACGCTGTTTCCAAAAAAAAAGCAAACCAACCTAAGTATTTAGGGATTCCCGCAATTCGATGCAGCGCCGGTCAGTCTATGTTTCCTAGCTCTATGGCTCCCGCGCCATAGGCGCGGATCCTTGGAAGCGGATCGGAGGGGTGACCGTCCTCAAGGGGAGGCGCTTCCTATTGGCTCGCGGGGAAGCGGCAGCGTGCGTGAGTGGGCGTGGCTTTGCCTCTGCCTCTAAAGCGTTGGCTGCTGCGCCTGTTTGCTGCTGCTGCTGCTCTTGCGATGAGAAGCCGGGAGGTAAATATCCCCCCTCTGCGATCACGTGACCTGTCACATGACCCCCCCCCCACTGGGTACCCCACTCACCCAACTGCATTGCCCAGAGTGAGGTGGGGGGGGCTGGTTTGAGAGCCTTGCAGAGCTGGGCTTGGAAGTGGGGGTCCCATTGGGGAGCTGGGGGGCAGAAGTATCTTCACCCCCCATATATATATATATATATATATACACACACACACACACACACACACACATATATGTGTATATAATATAATATAATATAATATAATATAATATAATATAATATAATAATACAATATTATATAGAGAGAGAGAGAGAGAGAGAGAGAGGGGGGGGGACTACCAAATGGTGTGTTGTCTTGTGTTGTGTTGTGTCATGCCATGTGATTGATTATGTCGGGTGGGGCTTACCTCCCCCCCAACCCAACCCCCATTTTATTCAAGTTGTCATCCCTAGTGGTGGACATGGGCGTAGCCAGGATTTATGTTGGGGACCCCCACCTCTATCTGCCTCTCTCCAGCAGATTCGGAATGAAATGTCTCCACAACCAGTGGGTTTAAATTACAGTCATACCTCGGTTTACAGACGCTTCAGGTTGCACGGTTACTTCCAGGTTCCGGCGCTCACGCATGCGCAGATGAACCGAATCGCGACCCGCGCGTGCACAGGCACAGTGCTTTGGGTTGCGAATGTGCCTCCTGCACGGATCACGTTCGCAACCAGAGCATCCACTATATAGTACTTTCTTTTTATAATAACCTGCAGCTTCATAAGCATATATATTTAAAGAAGATGAATGAACGAGTAAATTAAGTTAATTTGGATATGCAGAAGATATTAAAAACAAACGTAAGGAACCGCAGAAAGAGGGAGAAGGAAGTCAAGCTTTGAAATGTCAAAATGATTGTAAAACGAGTGAAATGTATAAATTTGTAAAGTGTATAAAAAATTGTTAATTACTTTCTTTTGACCCCAAGTGCTCAGAAAAATCTGTCAAAATCTTCCCACAATTTCTACTGTTAGTTAAGAATTTGTATTTAATTTGTTTGATTGCGGGGGGCACCCCATCCCATGGCCAGGGATGCCAGTCGCTGGGAATCGCAGGTGGGAAGAGTGTTTTTGCTGCGCTCAGCATTTTGCTTGTGGGCTCCCTGCAGGTGCCTGGTTGGCCACCGTCGGAACAGAGTGCTGGGCTAGTTAGGCCCTAGATCTCATCCAGAAGCGTTCTTCATATCCTTGGGGGGGAGGTGTTGTTGCTCGTGTTTGCTGCCAGATATTGATAACAATCTCTTTTCTGTTGATGACCTCTTTTAGATGGGAAAGCAATTTTAAGGTGCAAAAAGTGGAGACATACATACCATCCTGCCATCTGTGAGCATGTGTCAACCAAGTACAGTGGTACCTCGGGTTACATACGCTTCAGGGTACATACGCTTCAGGTTACAGACTCCGCTAAACCAGAAATATTACCTCGGGTTACGACCTTTGCTTCAGGATGAGAACAGAAATCGTGCTCCTGCGGTGCGTCAGCAGCAGGAGGCCCCATTAGCTAAAGTGGTGCTTCTGGTTAAGAACAGTTTCAGGTTAAGAACAGACCTCCAGAACGAATCAAATTCTTAACCCAAGGTACCACTGTACTGTGACCCTCCTGAGGGAGCACATTCTCCCTGGTACTGTTTCACTTCATGGGTCCTCTGAAGAGGATCTTAAGATCTGGATAAGTATATATGGGAGTAAGAACAGTTCTGGTTAAGAACAGTTTCAGGTTAAGAATGGACCTCCGGAACAAATTAAGCACTTAACCCGAGATGCCACTGTAACTAGGGATGCTACCTGTCCTGTATAATACAGGATTGTCCAGTATTTCAATGTAAAATGTTACATCCTGTATTGATATAGGTTGTCCTATTTCAGATCTGATCTCTCTCTCTCTCTCTTCTCTCTCTCTCTCTGCCAAGTTAGGGATCCTTCCAAACACATGTGTTTGAAAGGGTGTGTGAAAGGTCATGTATTTAAGCTCTGAGTAGCCAAGCACAGACAGATTTACAATTTCGTGGGTATGTGTGTGCATGCAGGTGCATGTGTGACAAGTTCTGGAGGGTTACGCTGCAATAGATTGCAATGGATTGCTTTGAAGTTACTTCAGCACCAGATTTGGGGGGGGGGGAATCGCCCCCAACCACCCCGCCCCATCCTGTCCTGTATTTTGCCAACATAAAGGTGGCAACCCTACCAGTGAGAATCATGGATGGGAAGAGCAATAACTGCACTCAACTTTTTTGCTTGCGGGCTTCCTGCAGGTGTCTGGTTCGCTGCCATCAGAACAGAGTGCTAGGCCCTGGTTAGGCCCTTGATCTGATCCAAAAGGGCTCTTCATATGTGTGTGTTTTTTTGTTTTATAATAATACTAATAATTTATTATTTATACCCCGCCCATCTGGCTGGGTTTCCCCAGTCACTCTGGGCGGCTTCCAACTGAATATTAAAAACAATACAGCATCAGACATTAAAAACTTCCCTAAACAGGGCCGCCTTCCGTTGTCCTTTAAAAGTAAAATAGTTGTTTATTGCCTTGACATCTCCTGGGAGGGCGTTCCACACAGTGGGTGCCACTACTGAGAAGGCCCTCTGCCTGGTTCCCTGTAAACTCACTTCTCACAGCGAGGGAACCGCCAGAACGCCCTTGGTGCTGGACCTCAGTGTCTGGGCTGAACGATGGGGGTGGAGACGCTCCTTCAGGTCTACTGGACCGAGGCCGTTTAGGGCTTTAAAGCTCAGCACCAACACTTTGAATTGTGCTCTGAAACGTACTTTCTGCTGATGGCCTCTTAGATGGAATTGCATTTTTACTGTGCAGAAGTACACACCATCGTACTGCCTGTGGGCATTTATCAACCAAGTAGCGCATGTTGTACTGCACTGTTAGGGGTCCGTGTTGTTACTATGAGGAAGAGCGGCAAGAAACAGCGCCATCACTGATCTTGCATGTTTGAAAAAAGTGGAAGTTGTTATTTTTCTTCTTTAGCTACCTACCTCCTGCAAACACGCACACGCACACACCTGCCTCCATACTTGACAAAGGTATATGGTGCTTATTTAGCAATGTAAAGTGAATAGTCTCCTGCTGATGACAATGCGAAAACAAACAAGAAACCCCACAATATTCTGTTGCATTTCCAGGTCTTGAAGCTTTTCAAAACTTTGCACAGAACGCGACAACACGTTTTCAAAAATGATACTAGAGCCCTAGAAGGTAAATAAAATCTTTGTTATCTTGGCACTAAGAGCTGTCTTTGGGCACCTTATTAACATCATTGTGGTATATGCTTTTGCAGGGTTTACTACATGACTACTCTCTAGAAGTTTGCTTTCTTGGGGTGTTTGCCAGACTAATAGATTTGTAACTAACCCTGCAAAAGTCAAAATTTATAATAGTTTGTTAGAGGCTGTAGGAGGGGGCTTCCATTCTCGGGCACCTTTTTCCATTTCTAAATAATAATAATAATAATAATTTATTATATATACCCCGCCCAACATACCCCGCCGGGTTTCCCCAGCCACTCTGGGCAGCTCCCAGTAGAATATTAAAAACACGATAAATACATCAAACATTAAAAACTTCCCTAAACAGGGCTGCCTTCAAGTCAGATAGTTGCTTATTTCCTTGACATCTGATGGGAGGGTGTTCCACAGGGCGGGCGCCACTACCGAGAAGGCCCTCTGCCTGGTTCCATGCTAGATTCAGGGGAGGGACTGAGTGCTGTGTCACTCTCCTCAACAACCCACTTGTCAACATGCAATTTATTACCGCCATTGGCAAGTAGAATTACAAGACTGGTGTTAAGGCCATTTCTTCTGTGACAAACTGTCTGATGCAGCTTGAGGTTAGCCGCAGTATTCCTTCCCTTTGGACTTCCACGTAGCTGATACATGGTGTGAATAACAGGAGGGAAGCTTATTTGAATGAAATACATTTAAATACATGGGAATATAAGTTGTTGTTTAGTCGTGTCCGACTCTTCGTGACCCCATGGACCAGAGCACACCAGGCACTCCTGTCTTCCACTGCCTCCCACAGTTTGGTCAGACTCATGCTGGTAGCTTCGAGAACACTGTCCAACCATCTCGTCCTCTGTCGTCCCCTTCTCCTTGTGCCCTCCATCTTTCCCAACATCAGGGTCTTTTCCAGGGAGTCTTCTCTTCTCATGAGGTGGCCAAAGTATTGGAGCCTCAGCTTCAGGATCTGTCCTTCGAGTGAGCACTCAGGGCTGATTTCCTTCAGAATGGATAGGTTTGATCTTCTTGCAGTCCATGGGACTCTCAAGAGTCTCCTCCAACACCATAATTCAAAAGCATGGAATATAAGTTGCTACAGTATTAATGGAATAATTTAGGCCAGCTATACATACACCAAACTATTTACCTGGCTGAGGAACTAGGGACATGTGAGACACAAACTTTCTTATACTGGGCTAGAGCTCAGGGGTAGACCAACTGCTTTGCATGCAGAAGGGTCCAAGTTCAATCCCCAACATATCCTGGTAGGACTGGAAATGTCCCTTCTGAAACCCTAGGGAGCCCCTTCCAGTTAATGAAGAAAACACTGAACTGGAATAACTGATGGTCACGTTATTACTATAGCATGATTTTAATATAGCATGTACCGGCATGTAATGAAGCAATGTGACTTACTCTAACATATATGCAGGACTGTTTTCTTCTGAAGCCTTGCCTACCAAAAGCATCTTGCAGTATTGTTGCAAAACATTCTTTTTTTTCAGCTGACAACAATACCATAAGAGATAGTGGTATACAGATGAAACTGATGAAAACCCCAAATCTCTTTTCTGATGAGAGCAGCTTTTGCATCCCATTTGGAAACCAAGGACCCAGAGTCTGGAGGAAGAATGGGGAGGCACACAATGCCAGATGCTTGAAGTCCAGTGTGAAGTTTCCACAGTCTGTGTTGATAACACCTCAGCAGTGCCACAGGCTGATAGCATCCATGCCACGCCGCATTGAGGCAGTACAGTGGTGCCTCGCAAGACGAAATTAATCAGTTCCGCGAGTGTCTTCGTCTAGCGGTTTTTTCATCTTGCGAAGCAACCCTATTAGCGGATTAGCGCTATTAGCGGTTTAGCGGCTATTAAAGGCTTAGCAGCTTAGTGGCTTAGCTGCTAAAAGGCTATTAGCGGCTTAGCGGCTTAGAAAAAGGGGGGGGGAGCGGAAAAAAATCTCAAGACTCGCAAGACATTTTCGTCTTGTGAAGCAAGCCCATAGGGAAATTCGTCCTGCGAAGCAACTCAAAAACGGAAAACCCTTTCGTCTAGCGGGTTTTCCGTCTTGCGGGGCACCACTGTAATTGATGCAAAAGGGGCCCAAACCAAGTACTGAGTACATGTGCATGCGTCTACTTCTCAGAGGTCCAGTATTGCTCCATTTGCAGTCCTTGTTTTGCTGATTTCATTTAATACTCTAATTTTCTGAGATTGTTAATTTGGGGTTTTCATCAGCTGTACGCCATAAACATCACAATTATAACAAATAAAGGCTTGACATATCTCGCTTTGCATGTCATGAGTCTATCTCATATATTAGTTTCACCTTTTAAGTTGAATTACTGAAATAAATGAACTTTTCCACAATATTCTAATTTTCCGAGTTTCACCTGTATTAGCATACTGCTCTATATTTGCATGATGATGTCTGACTGACAATTAATACACAGTTCTTATCACTAGCAATTTTATTACACATTTAAAATGATGCAAGATAGACCCAAATTAGCATATTCTTCTTAAACCGGTGGATTCTACAAAGACTGATTAAATTTGGTTGGTTGTGTGAATTGCGTCATGTAGTGGAATTTGTAGCTAGATTTAAACCTGTACACTGAAGAGCAGCATTTGAGTTTCCCGAAACACATCATGGTATCCTGTATTATCATTAGTCTGTTGGGGAAATGAACTAGATTTTTACCCCAGTCCTACTGCATGCAAATATGACTCTGGTAACAGAATTACGGATTTTTGCATGAGGTTTTTGTGGAATCAAGTCTGCGACTGCAATGGTATGTTACAGGTTTGCATATTGTTAGCATATAAAAGTAGAATCCGTAAAGGACAAAATGTAGAGAAATTAACGTTTCCCTTTTCCCCCCTTTATCCAGCTGCAAGACTTAAGATAAATGAAGAATTCAAAAATAATAAAGATGAGACTTCTTCTGAAAAAATAGCTGAGGTACTTTAATAGAAATCCTTAACTGTCACAGGTACCACCTCTCCATTTCCAAGCTCTTTAATGAACAAATTATAATTTGGGGGATTTCTAGCAGATAATTCTCAGCGACTTCATAAAACTTTATTTTTGCCACCACTAGGGGATACACTGGTATGTTGGAACTCTTCCTTTTCCCCCCCTGCCACTGTTGAAGCCTGTGTGTCTTGTTCCTTGCCACGGGAGCAAGGGACAACTGAACCAAAAAACAAAGCTAAATCGCTTACAAACTCTCCTTTGGGTCACGAAACACATTTCTAAATAACTTACTACTTCAATTATGAGCTGAATTATATTGAAAAATTAACCATAGGTGTTCTGTTTTGCCACCTGTAGAGGGCGAGTGAATAAGTCTTTGTGGTTCCCTTTCAGGAAAGTTTTTCCATTCACTGAATTATTTCTTTACAAAGGCTTCCATTTATAAATGTACACCAATTGTGGGAATTCGTAAAGAAGAGCTCTTAAGAGTGGCATTCCTGAAGGTTCTTTTTTTGAGGGGTGGTAAAATAAACCTAAATCAGCCTCTGTAGTAATTTGCATTCAAAACTAGGACAGGTACTCTCATACAGACACAAGATGGGTAAAATGATACCTTGCACTGAACAAATGTTCATGAGTCCACTTGCAGACTCTGGAGCAATGGAAGAGATCACTTTTTGTAAGTTCCCCTCCCCACCCAGTAACAGCTGTGTTTGAACCAATTCATCATAGATGTTTGTGCTTCCTAACCAGAGGTGACCAAGGCAGCTCAAAACCAGCCCTTGAGGATGCATTTGTTAGTCTTAAAATCCCAGGGTTTTGGTTTTTTTTAATCCGATAATGCTGAGACCATATCGGGGGTTTTTTTGGGTGGGGTGATCACTAAAATGTTAAGGTTGGGAGCAGAAGAGCAAGGAGAACCTGTGGTTGAATTTCCTAGCGCGATTCTTTCAGTCAGTATATAAAGGTCCTTTTAGGGACCCACTGAAGGGACGCTGGTGGCGCTGTGGGTTAAACCACAGAGCCTAGGACTTGCTGATCAGAAGGTTGGCGGTTCGAATCCCCGCGACGGGGTGAGCTCCCGTTGCTCGGTCCCTGCTCCTGCCAACCTACCAGTTCAAAAGCACATCAAAGTGCAAGTAGATAAATAGGTACCGCTCCAGCAGGAAGGTAAACAGCATTTCTGTGCGCTGCTCTGGTTTGCCAGAAGCGGTTTAGTCATGCTGGCCACATGCTCGATTTATTGTTCCCAAATGTGGAGCTGCCTGGAAGTCTGTTGCCAATTCTGGAAAATCGGTATTCCTTTTATTGACATTTGAAATCTAACAATAGTCCTTTCGTTAGTCCTCTTTTGAAAGTTTAAGAGATGAAAGGTGCTGTAGAATTATAAGTGATTTGGTACTTTGTTCTCAACAAGCATAGATGATGTCTTCCAAAAATAAAGCTGAGGTGTTCAAACAATTCTCTTTTTCCCCTCCCCTTTTATGAACAGCTTGTGAAAATAGGTTCAGATGTAGAATTTATACTCAGAACATCTGTCCTTCAAGGTGTTCATGTGGATTCCAACCAAGTATGTAAGTAAATAATATTTTTAAGTTGGAAAGTTGTAAATGCTTCATGTCTGCTTTAACACCAAACACTCCTACTTCCTTCTGGGTACATAGCACTAAATGCATTCAGAATTTTGCTAACCTTTCAAATGATGAAACCAGGTTTCAGGTTTAACTGTTGTTTACTTCTATTATAAGATTATCTTCAGCATTTGTGCCCGGTTTGTTTGGAATGAGTAAGCGGTACCATTAAATGCTCAGAAAAACAATGTTGGTTATGAAATTTAGTGAGATTCTGAATAACGTTTAAAAGAAGCAGTAGATCTTGGGAGAACTACCAAAATAACTTTGAAATTATCTTCTACTTCCACAGGAAGAGCACTTGGGTTTTCTTGGTTCTGTCTGTAATTGCTCTTCTTTACGTAGTTTGTACAGTGGTATCTTGGTTCTCAAACTTAATCCATTTTGGAAGTCCGTTCCAAAACCAAAGCGTTCTAAAATCAAGGCGCGCTTTCCCATAGAAAGTAATGCAGAATGGATTAATCCATTCCAGACTTTTAAAAGCAACCCTAAAACAGCAATTTAACATGAATTTTATTATCTAACGAGACCATTGATCCATAAAATGAAAGCAATAAATAATGTACTGCAATCACACAATCAATCAAGTAGCTGAACTGGGTTCCACACAGTCACAAAAACAGAAACAATGAGCCGCAAAAACAAAAACAGACCTCAAAATAAATAGCAAAAACAGACAGATCTCAGCATAACACTCAAAACAGACGTGTGGCACTCAAAAATGAGCACATTCGACTTCCGAATAAAGTAAAGAAACTGGAACACTTACTTCTGGGTTTGCAATGTTTGGGTTCCAAGTTGTTTGAGTACCAAGGCATTTGAGAACCAAGGTACCACTGTATATATGTATTTTTCAATTTATCTATTTTGTTATCTGGGGTAGGGCATTGCTGCTTTCCTTGATATTGACAGCTGTTATACTTTTCCCACTAATATCTTAATCTAACAGTGGATCAGAACCAAGGTAGCTCAAGCAGGTGTTCACTCACACAACAAGGTTTGTCCTCCTTGCCCTATTTTACCCCAAAATCTGCTCTAGAGGATTGGAGGACCCTCTGGAACAGATCTGAGGAGTGTGCAGGGCACACGGGGATGAAAAGAAACTGGTGTTCCGATTGCACAGGTGGGTGGACAACATAGGATGCTACCCAATATGTTACATTCATTTGAACAACATATCAAAAACTCGTATATAAAAGAAGAATGCATGTATTTGCTGTAGATTTCCAACCTCTGCTTTACAGTGAACATGAGATATATAAATACACATTGCATTTCAAAACATAAATTATCATGTTTACAAGGAAACAGCCCTATCAACTTAAAGCCAAATCGACAGAAATTCGGTTTTCAGTTCTTCACCTGCAGACTTTCAACAACACCTTTGCACCGGCAGGTAATAGCGTTTCGAACTAATAGAGGCCAAGAGAGCAAAACTGAGCCGCTCATCACGCTTCAAACTCCCACTTTGTAATTGCAAGTCTTACTGAGTAGATGCAAGTCAGCTCACTGTCACACCAGTATAAAGGGAAAAGGGAAAGGACCCCTGGATGGTTAAGTCCAGTCAAAGGCAACTATAGGGTTGCGGCACTCATCTCGCTTTCAGGCCGAGGGAGTCGGTGTTTGTCCACAGACAGCTTTCTGGGTCATGTGGCCAGCATGACTAAACCACTTCTGGCCCAACGGGACACCATGACGTAAACCAGGGCACAAGGAAACGTTGTTTACCTTCCCGCCGCAGTGGTACCTATTTATCTACTTGCACTGGTGTGCTTTCAAACCTCTAGGTTGGCAGGAGCAGGGACAGAGCAACCGGAGCTCACCCCGTCGTGGGGATTCGAACCGCCAACCTTCTGATCAGCAAGCCCAAGAGGCTCAGTGGTTTAGACCACAGCGCTCTGGTTTGGGAGAGAGAAAGAGAAAGTATACATTATCAGTTGGTGTTGCCCTAGGGCATGCTGCTATCCAGATTAACTCAAAATTAGTCATGCTTTTCTGTATTTGGGGATTTGTTTCCAGCCCCTCTCTGCTTCGACCATCATCAGCCCTATCCTCCTAGAACCAGAATGATAGTGGAGAAGAGTTTCCCACCAGGCACTTTTAAGCTAAATTCCTCACCCCTAAGCCATTTATGTTTCAAAAGAGTTTATTCCCTGACCACTGAGAAATAGCTTGCACACATGTGTAGGGACATGTATGCTGTGCAATTGTGGCAGCATGGCAGCCTCACAGAAACTCAGTGAACTAGGGCTGGTCTGTGTTGGGGATGGGAGACTGCTCAGGACCCCTGTACACCCAGTCTTGAATTTTGTCATGGATATAAATGTGTGAAATAAATCAACACTCGAGGTACTCACTCTGCTAGTGAGCTTTTTGTCTCTTGGTTTTTGATTGTGGCTTTCTAAGTGGCCCTACTTGCCCAGTTCTTCACAATATCAACTAAATGGATATGTCAGTCAGCAGCCATTTAGCATATTGGACATAAATGTGGAGAAAGTCCAGGACTCTGTTCAGTCCTGAAACTCCCTGAAATGTTTTAGAAGCCTCTGCCGCTGATCACAACCTGAGCTTACCTCACTGGGCAGTGGCAAGGATAAAACACTGTTCTGGGATTCTTGAAGAGAGAGTGGGATTCAGATCAACAAACGCCCTTAATAAAAACAGTACACAAACTGGCCTTTTCTCAAAAACAGGAATAGGATTTCCTTTGCTGAAAATGGGATCAGAGTATTTTGGATCAGCAAGGGAGAAGAAAAGAGCCCTGTATAACAAGAGTAAGCAAGAATCGCTTGAAGAAGTCGCGTTTCTCCAAACCTCTCATTGCTTCCCACCCGCCTTTCATAACTCCCCGCTCTGACATTTTCCCCTCTTCCCTGCCTTCTCTCCCATCTCCTTGGCAACCGGCGACGTTCGCTTCAGTTCTACACCCCTCCCAACTGCCTACTCCCGTATAAGGATCGCTACGACCCATTATTCCTCTTGTCCATCTTTGGCTTCCCCCACATCCCTTTAAAAAGCAAGACAAAAACCTGGACTGAAGATGCAGGGAGGCTGCAACTGAGCTTGGCAAAGGGGTCATGCCGCATGAATGCGAAGAGTCTTCCATATAGAACTGGAATCTTTAATATCAGAGCATAGGCAGCTGCCTTATGCCTCCTATTTCCACATATGGGATACATTTGTTCGTTGCGTAAAAAAGCAACGCTGCAGCTCTAGGCCCACAACCACAGCAAATTTTCCTTCTCGCATCATGACATCTATACCTTGTAAAGTGTTCTTGCCAATGGCCCTGTTCGGGGGACAGAATATACAGTGGTGGTACTGGATTACTTATACCCCCCATGCTGAAACGATTAAGTATCCTGAAATCCATCTGATTCACCATTTGGCTGCATGCAGTTTCCCTTCTGAAGACGTTCTCTCCTCCGTGTAAGCAGGACTTCAGAAAGGGCTCTTGCGTTCCTACAAAAGCGGGAATCCATCGCGACCGGTCTAGCTATGGATGTCTGTCATGGCCCATGTGGAACATGAAACTTCATAAACTGTCTTCTGCAGGGTCAGGTCCACCTAAGTCTCATAGTGTCTGCTCCAGGAACTATTAGGATGCGGGTGGCGCTGTGGTCTAAAACATGGAGCCTTTTGGGCTCGTCGATCAGAAGGTTGAGGGTTCAAATCCCTGCGATGGGGTAAGCTCCCATTGCTCTGTCCCAGCTCCTGCCAACCTAGCAGTTTGGAAGCATACCAACACAAGTAGATAAATAGGTACCGCTGCAGCAGGAAGGTAAACCATGTGTCTGCGTGCTCTGGTTTCCATCACAGTGCTCCGTTGCGCCAGAAGTGGTTTAGTCATGCTGGACACATGACCCGGATTGCTGTCTGTGGACAAACGCCGGCTCCCTTGGCCTGAAAGCGAGATGAGCGCCACAACCCTGTAGTCGCCTTTGCCTGGACTTAACTGTCCAGGGGTCCTTTACCTTTACCTTTTTTTTACTCCAGGAGCTATCAATATGGCCCATACAGGTCCACGTGCACCCACATAGGCCTTTCCTGGCACTCAGATCCCCTCCCTACGTTGAAATTAGTTTTGAAAGAAACAGTATATTGCAGTTAACGTAATAGATTATGATGTGTGCTTGGTTGCAGGGTGTGTGGGCATCGAGAACAGTTTTTCCAGTTTGCAAGTGTGCCCACTTTTGACTCAAATCCATCCAACCTCCTTTGGGGAAGGTTCTCAGGCAGGGTGGAAGGAGAAAGAACTTGCCCATGTGAAGACCAGCGGGTGGAAACCCTTACACATATGGTTCTTATTTGTAAACTATATGCTGATCTCCGTCAACAATTTCTAGATCAACTCTGTATCCCCAAATGGAAACCAGAGTTGGAGGTCATACATTTTCTATTACTGGGGAATGATCAGGAGCTCACCAAGTTAGTGGCTAAATTTCCCTATTTGGTTGTTTGTCGTCGAAATACACTGCAGACGTCTAGGTCTCCCTGGAGACCTAGAGATGTGACGATAGATTGTTCTGACTCCTTTCTTTTAGCAAATGTTTTGTGCCACTGGGGAAGTGGTAATTCTGTATTGATTTGTTTTGGATGTTTGTATGTGATGCCAATAAAAGGTTTGATGATGATGATAACAGACCCTTTCCTTTTGCTGGTGATTCCAAAAAACGAAGCTGGGATCTTTTGTGTGCCAATGATGGACTTTGTTACTGAACTGTATCCCCTTCCCTATTCCCTTGGTCCTAACAGGGATATCTCGGCCTTTTGATTTGTGCATGCTATCCTTAGACTAAATGCTGGTACAAAGGAGGTGTATATTAGGGTAGCAGCCTTTGTCAGATTAGGTTAAATAGCCTAGAGACCAGCTCTCGAGTGGGTGCTTAAGGTGCCAGATGGTCAGAACTACAGTAGAGACAAGGGCAGATAAAGGACAATGCAGTCAAGCAAAATAAACTGGCTGCCTTTTTCTCTTGCCCTCCTCCTACCCTCCCACCTTTAATAAAACTGCAGATAAGTTGGCAGCAAACCTCCCTATACAATCGAGCACTTGATTTAAATCAGGCATAGGCAAATTCCGGCCCTCCAGATGTTTGGGACTACAATTCCTATCATCCCTGACCGCTGGTCTTGTTAGCTAGGGATGATGGGAATTGTCATCCCCAACATCTGGAGGGCCGGAGTTTGCCTATACCTGATTTAAATGCAAGGCACTTGTTCAGTAATGCTAAAATTTGTTTTTCTTTGGGCACAGTTAATTGGCACGCTACCAGAGCAACAAGTTGGTCAAGTCCTTACTAATTATACTTATTGCTGTGGCACAAACATATGGATGCTTCTAACACACAAGATATAGGTATATATCCACTCTGCAAATGCCATTAAGAAAAAGAAAGTTGCTATAGTGGGACGCGGGTTGCGCTGTCGGACGCGGGTGGCACTGTGGGTTAAACCACAGAAACTAGGGTTTGCCGGTCAGAAGGTTGGCGGTTCAAATCCCCGCAACAGGGTGAGCTCCCGTTGCTCGGTCCCTGCTCCTGCCAACCTAGCAGTTCGAAAGCACGTCAAAGTGCAAGTAGATAAATAGGTACCGCTCCGGCGGGAAGGTAAACGGCATTTCCGTGCGCTGCTCTGGTTCGCCAGAAGTGGCTTAGTCATGCTGGCCACATACGCCGGCTCCCTCGGCCAATAAAGTGAGATGAGCGCAGCAACCCCAGAGTCGGCCACGACTGGACCTAATGGTCAGGGGCCCCTTTACCTTTATAGTTTGACAAACGGCTGATCTCTCTTTGTAAAGATCATATGAACTGTTACAGGTAACCCTTTTCTCTCTTCTAGTGCTTCTACCAAGAAAAGAGCTGCTGCTGGACAACGTGCCTTTCAGCGACACACCGAAGCAAAAATCATGAATTGGGGAGAATAAAGTTTTTTTGGTCATTATTAACTGCAGTGTGACTTCTTTCCTTGCATACTGAGATTTCTTTCCTGGGGAACCTTCAGCCCACGGGCCTAATCAGGTCCAGCCTGTGTCCCCATAGGTGACATCATCTGTGACATCAGGTGAGAGGCAGAGGTGACAAAACTGGCAGGAGAGGCTTGCTCTCTTGTGATTGGCTGTGAGAACAAGTCAGCTAAGATTCTCTATGCAGGGGAACTGTGCAGCCAGCCAATCACTGAAGGGGCTTACAAAGAACCCTCCCTAACACTGTACCCCCTCCAAATGACATTTCAATTTAATTTCTAGTATCTGTGTGAACAGATGGTTGAGAAAATCTTGTTCTAAAATCTCAATTTCTACAGCAGGTGGTGCTCTTCCATATTTATATTCAGGGAATGAATTCTGAAATGAATTCATAACTGCTTCCTCTGCATATTTACACCTAGTAGTAAGTAGCTGCCTTTAATTCAAAAGGTGAGTTTGGAAATACTTTATTAAACGAGCTGGTCCATCTGTGTTCACGGAAGCTTACTTCCAAGAAAGGGTAAATAAGATTTAAATTTCAGTCCAATGGCCAGGAATGGTGGGAGTTCTAGTCCAGCAGCATCTCAGAGGGCCACAGGCTTAAATTTCATTTCATTTCACTTTTAATTTGTATACACAAGGCAGTTTGCAAGCTGAAGAAACACAAGATAAACAGCCACGGTCAAACACATAATAACAATCTGATCCAATGCAAAAAAAAGTCACAGTAACTTTAAAATAAACAACTTATATCAAATAAAGCAATATTCAGCAATCCATTAGAATATAATAGTAAACAGTAAAATCAACTATGAGCAAATAATAATTGAACTGTTTAGTAACTCTCTATTGTAACTGATAAGTGTAAACTATCATCAATAAGAATAACGGCACAAAATATCACAGAACATACAAAACCATGTGAAAGCATCAAATTGAGAAACAAGGACACACAACTTATAAATTATTTTTAAGCCCTCTTAATTCCTTTGCAGGCATTTGATGCCCTTTTTGTTTTTAGCTCCTTAATCTCTAGCTATACTTAACAGCGTAATTGAAGCCCCATAGACTATTATTTTTGTCGCTTGTGTCTTTGAGCATCAAGAAGTATTTGCTGGGAAAGTGATAGAGGATTCTGTCCCCATGAATGGGGAACCTGTGGCTCTCCAGATGTGGCAGTCCCAGTCATCCTGACCAGTGGCCAAGAATGGTGGGAGTTCTAGTCCAGCAACATCCCAGAGGGCCACAGGTTCTCCATGCTTGATTTTGAAGGATCCCAGCAACATACACTCTCTTTTCCTGCACCCTATATAGAATATATAGCGTGGGTTGACTTGCTCAGCCTTTTTGCCCAGTGCTTCCCAACAACAACAACTACTACTACTACTAATAATAATATATTATTTATACCCCGCCCATCTGGCTGAATTTCCCCAGTCACTCTGGGCAGCTCCCAATCAAGTGTTAAAAACAGTACAGCATTAAATATTAAAAACTTCCCTGAACAGGGCTGCCTTCAGATGTCTTTTAAAGATAGGATAGTTGCTTATTTCCTTCACATCTGAAGGGAGGGTGTTCCACAGGGCGGGCGCCACTACTGAGAAGGCCCTCTGTCTGGTTCCCTGTAACCTCACTTCTCGCAATGAGGGAACCGCCAGAAGGCCCTCGGCACTGGATCTCAGTGTCCAGGCTGAACGATGGGGGTGGAGACGCTACTTCAGGTATACTGGACCAAGGCCGTTTAGGGCTTTAAAGGTCAGCACCAACACTTTGAATTGTGCTGGGAAACGTACTGGGAGCCAATGCAGATCTCTCAGGACCGGTGTTATGTGGTCCCGGCAGCCAGTCCCAGTCACCAGTCTAGCTGCCGCATTCTAGATTAATTGCAGTTTCCGGGTCACCTTCAAAGGTAGCCCCACGTAGAGCGCATTGCAGTAGTCCAAGCAGGAGATAACTAGAGCATGCACCACTATGACGAGACAGTCCGCGGACAGGTAGGGTCTTAGCCTGCGCATCAGATGGAGCTGGTAGACAGCCGCCCTGGACACAGAATTGACTTGCGCCTCCATGGACAGCTGTGACTCCCAGGCTGCGCACCTGGTCCTTTAGGGGAACAGTTACTCCTTTCAGGACCAGGGAATCTCCCACACCTGCCCGCCCCCTGTCCCCCAAAAACAGTACTTCTGTCTTGTCAGGATTCAACCTCAATCTGTTAGCCGCCGTCCATCCTCCAACCGCCTCCAGGCACTCACACAGGACCTTCACCGCCTTCGCTGGTTCTGATTTAAAGGAGAGGTAGAGCTGGGTGTCATCTGCATACTGATGAACACCCAGCCCAAACCCCCTGATGATCTCTCCCAGCGGCTTCATATAGATATTAAAAAGCATGGGGGAGAGGACGGAACCCTGAGGCACCCCACAAGTGAGAGCCCAGGAGTCTGAACACTCATCCCCCAACACCACTTTCTGGACACGGCCCAGGAGGAAGGAGCGGAACCACCGTACAACAGTGCCCCCAGCTCCCAGCCCCTTTAGATGGTCCAGAAGGATGTTATGGTCAATGGTGTCAAAGTACTAGCTGATGGTTGGCCATTTGGGAAGCTGTTCAAGAGGTTTTGCAGTGCCTACGCAACTCCTTTGAGCCAAGACCCACTTTTACGTGGCCCACAGGTGGTCATGGCTCCCCCGAAACAACTCATGGCACAATAGGGAGGCCTGGGAGGCCAAATTTGGCCCTTGGGCTGGAGGTTCCTCACCCCTAGCCTAACTCTTGTTTGCAAAAGAAGCTTGGGCATGAGACCTTAATTTGAAAGATACTTCGTGGCTATAAGGAGAGAAACTATCCCAAGGAAGCTTCAGCATAGAAATTCATTATGTTCCATATTTTTCATATGTCAAGGCCTGAATTTCCATAAGTATCTTTTATATCTGGGTTTCTTGCGTGGGTTTTTTGTACTGACATCTGTCAGCAATTCACTTTGCTGAAATATGTGCTATAGGAGAAGAGCTCTGTGCAGGAGCTTGCAGTGGACTAATCGAAAATAAGATTAAGATATTTTAGTCTGTGGCTTTGTTACTGCATTTAACGTCTACTCTTCTGTCATCACCTCATCTTCTTAAAAACGGTGTAAAATTTAATAGCCCTGTGGAGGCAAAAAAGAAAAAAGGCTGATATATCGATATGTGCTTGCTACACACACAAACACACACTCACTTGTGGTTAATGTGATTTGCCTTGAAGAATGTGCATAAAACCAACCATTGTGCTGAATCATTGGACTGGAGAATGTGCACAAAAGAACAGCATAAATTTTGATTTCCCATATTAGCCAAGCTTAAAATGCTGGGTATTTCATGTGGGGCATTTCATACATTGCTTGATCATTCAGTCTATTATTTTCTTGGGCAATGTATACCTTTACTTACTGAGGTGTGAAACACTCACGTCTTTTCAATATTAATTGGAAGTTATGCATGCTGATGTGCCCAATTCCCTATTTTTGCTTCTTATACGTGCTCATTATTCTTCCTTTCTGGTGATTGTGCACAATAACAGGCCATCGTGCGCATTCTTCAGTCAACTTGTATTAACCCCAGCCATTGTTTTTAGTTTTGCCCTGGGGCAACGGGGACAACCACTGTTGCATATGCTTATAAATGTGATCCCCAGATTTTAAAGATACCATATCTGGCCATTAGACCACCCTCTTTCAGAATTTCACCTCATAAATCTATATTTTCACCCCAAAGATCAAGTATGAAATGTTATCAAACTCTCTCTCTGAAGAATTTCCCCTATTAAGGAGATGTGTCACATTTCAGCCAAAGTCTAGGTTTTGAAGTAAAAATGGAAGTGTCATAAAATCTAATTTAAAACACACATAAAATGCTGGATTCTAAGTTATTAAAAGTGTGCCATCCTTATCAGTGAATCTTATTGGGCTCCTCTAATCATGTTAATTAGAACTTCAATTTCATGATGTACAGTTTGCTCTTCTAGCTGGACAAAACCGTGTGCGTTATTATTATTATTATTATTATTATTATTATTATTCCCATTGATCTGACCCACAATGCACCTTTTTATGTTTTCTGACTTCGGTCTTGCTTGATTGTTTGCATATTATAGTTCTCTATATAGCACAGTCTATATCTATCCATATAATATCACCAGTGTTGTCTAGGCGAGGAGCAGAGAGCCATTCAGTCATTGGAAGAGACTAGTTAATAGCATCATTTTTTCGATGCACTCATTAAATGATTGGTTAGAACAATCTATGCTCTTGCTATTCTTCAATCAAATTTGAGCAGTTTTATCTTTTAATAGCAACTGCCAAAAATACATAGTGTTCTTGCTCTTGGCATATCTACTCAGAGACCAGTGAAAATTCACAAGGGTTTGTTTTTTTTAATTTTAATAAAACTGTGAGTTACCTGGTACTGATTTAATGAACAATTTAATTCAGCTTCCCTTGGTCTTGGCTCTGAGGACAAATACCACAGCACCTTTTAAAATATCACTTCAATATGCATGAGCTTTCACTCCTGCATTTTTTCCCCCTCTGAAAAATGCTGGATTGCTGTCAACCGTATGAAGCCGAAGTGCAATGGTTTGCATTGTATTAGAGTTGTAAATAAGGCAATTTAATTTCTGGTACTGGCAGTTCCTTACACTTCCTTTGTAAATAGGGGAAAGATATTGGCACTGGAAAACTAAAAATAAGGCCAACCAACCTTTGCAGGAAGAGCAGAAACTTTTATCTTTCACTACATGGGATGACTCTTTCCGAAAGATTTCCTATTTCTTAGCATAAAAGCAATTCACTCTGTTATGATGAATGAGAAATGCATAGTCATGAATGTAATTACGCATCTGTGTAACCTTATTGCAGATAAACGGAAATTAATGGGCGACATCCAATGGTATCCACCCTTTTCTGCAATGGGACTCTTTGCAGCTTGACAAGCTCACAAGAGCCAACAAATCTTTTTCGGCATGCCACATTGTCACAATCTAGACATGACAGCTGAGAATGCATTAGGTTCAACACTTAATTACATCTGTGGGTTCTTCAGACATTTCCATATTATCCAGGTATTGAATATTGCCTGCTTGGCTCCATTGTGAAATATGTCTACCAGCTCCATCTGGTATCCAGGCTGAGACCCTGCCTGCTTGCACACTGTCTTGCCAGAGTGGTGCATGTTTCTAGTTCTCTTCTGCTTGGACTACTGCAATGCGCTCTACATGGGGCTACCTTTGAAGGTGACCCAGAAACTACAACTAAACCAGAATGCGGCAGCTAGACTGGTGACTGGGGGCGGCCACTGAGACCATATAACACCGGTCTTGAAAGACCTACATTGGCTCCCAGTACGTTTCCAAGCACAATTCAAAGTGTTGGTGCTGACCTTTAAAACCCTAAACGGCCTCGGCCCAGTATACCTGAAGAAGCATCTCCACCCCCACCGTTCAGCCCAGACAATGAGGTCCACCTCCAAGAGCCGTCTGGTGGTTCCCTCATGGCGAGAAGTGAGGTTACAGGGAACTAGGCAGAGGGCCTTCTCAGTAGTGGCACCCGCCCTGTGGAACTCCCTCCCATCAGTTGTCAAGGAAATAAGCAACTATCTTACTTTTACAAAACATCTGAAGGCAGCCCTATTTAGGGAAATTTTTAATGTTTGATGTTTTATTGTTTTTAATATTCTGTTGGGAGCCGCCCAGAGTGGCTAGGGAAACTCAGCCAAATGGGCAGGGTATGTACAAATTGTTGTTGTTGTTGTTGTTGTTGTTGTTGTTATGTTCCATTTTTCATCCACTTCATTCCTCTATATAGAGTACACTTGTTCAATTTCTAACACTCATTTGGAACAGAACAGGGAAACATCACTGTTTTCAGGATTATTTCCACCGCCACATTCTTCAGTAAAAGCATCTAAGGCGGCAAATGCACTCCTATGTAAAGGATCACTGTAGGCCCTGCTTGAAAAAATAGCCTGTTTAAGCTTTGTCTTCCAAAGCTCCTGAGATTTTCACTGCAAATCAGTCTTCTCTTGTTCACTTGTCCAGGGAGTGGGTGGTGCTGTGGTTTAAACCACTGAGCCTCTTGGGCTTGCCAGTCAGAAGGTTGGCGGTTCAAATCTCCGCGATGGAGTGAGCTCCCATTGCTGTGTCCTGGCTCCTGCCAAGCTAGCAGTTCAAAAGCATGCCAGTGGGTTTGAGCCCCACATTTGGCAAAAGATTCCTGCATTGTAAGGGGTTGGGCTAGATGACCCTCATGGTCCCTCCCAAACACAATTCCCTGATTCTCTGATTCCATGAAACCAATATTCCCCCCCTCCCATGGGTTCCATCTATCTACCTTCCACACATCACATTCGTGCACATGCAAACACCATTCTGCCTCAACCACATTTGAAACTTCCTTTTTTTAATAAAAGATATTTATTGAAATTTTCAAAATGTTACAAAAAAGAGAAAAATAAAATAGAAACAGAAGAAAGTACAAAATAAAAATAGTTGACAAAGTAGAAAAGGAAAAAAAAAACACCCTTCCCACCATATGAGTAAAAAATTCAAAATAAGAAAAAGTGACAGAAGAAAGAAAAAAAAGAAAAATACAAAAATACATCACAAACCTTTAAAAACATTTAAAAACAAATTCATTATTTTCAGATCCTTAACTGTCATTGCCTTTTTTCTTAGACCTCCTCCTCCTCCCTTTCTTTGTATCCTAGTTATTAATTATCCCAGCAAATCCTTTCCATATTTCATAATATTCTGTCATTGCATTACCCTAATCTGTTTTGATCTTATCTTTCTATGATAAAATAAACCTTAAAGCTTAAAACTTAAATCTTATCCTTACCAACTTCTCATAACCATAATATTCTTTCATAATTCTTTAATCATCTTTGCTAAAGCCAAGTAATTTCATTCCAACATTTTTCTAACATTCATCAATTTTATAAGACAGTTCTAATGGTAGAGAAAAGAGATACAAACAAATCCAATCTTCATCCAACGTCCCTTCCTCCTGGTTCCGGGTTTTGTCAGTCCTTATTCCCGTCAATCTGGCCCATTAACCTGGCAACCTTATATCCGAGGCCCTCAAGTCTCTTCCATGTCCCTTCCGCGGCTCTTCTTCATATTTGTAACTGTATTTTCCCTTGTCTCCTGCTCGTGGTAACTCCAGTTTGACAATGTTTTTGACCCTTCTCAACGGATCAGCCCCTTTTCCATGTTCAACACTGAATTCCATGTAGTATTTAAAAGCATGTTTCAAAGACCCTCCAAAATTAAAAGCCCCCACCGTCCCAAACATCTCACGGCCCATTGCCTTATTTGAAAAGTCCAAACATCCCAGCATAGGGGGGTCAATCCAGCCCCCCATTTCCAAACCAAGCCAAACTTTTCCTTTCCAAATCTGGCTTTTTCCAAGTTCATTTGTCAAATCCGAAAAATCATATTCCTGTTGGGCCTGTTCTGTCAAGACACACTCCTGATTTAATTCCTGAGTGGGCTCCACATATTTTCCCACTGTCTGTTCAAAGTTTCCCACTGCCTGTTCAAAATTTCTAGTCGAAGTCGCCATCCAATTCATCTTCTCGTGTAATTGTTCCAGAAGGGCATTTGTTTTATAGAGAGCACACAACAAAGCTTCTGAATACATTGTCCTGCAAGGTCAGATGCCTGTTCCCACGGTTGTAATCTGTGACAGCTGCCGGCTCCCTGGAGTTAGTTACAGTTTCCCAGACTCCCCCTAGGGGGAAGACTTCTATTTGTTCTTGCAACAAAGTTTCCTTTTTTAAGATACTTTGTCCATATATATTCCTTTAAAATGCGAAAGGGAACAGTGGAGTCACTATGTTTCTCTTCTTTTAGCTATCTGTCAAAAACACTTGTCTTTGGTCAATGAACTTCAAACGTCAGTCCTGACACCCCGCTTCAGGATCAGGACGGAGGAAAGTTACTTTACTTTAAAGTCACTTTAAACAATCCAAATCTCCTGCTGTCAAAGGGGGGTTCCACAATTTTAAATGGTGAAATCCAATCTTTTAAAAACGATTTTCTGAGCTCTAGTTTAAATTGTCTTTGCTTTATTCTGTTTACAAAAGAATGGAAGGCTGACTTCCTGTTTAGACCTTCCCGTTCCGTACCAAATTAGAGTAGAATTTTTAAAATCCAATTCTTTCCTGCTCGCTAGTCCTTATTTGATGTCCAATTATTCAAAGTCTAAATACTCACGGGTGCTTATTTTAAAGTCCAAATTGTCCCAGGAAAAAGGCAGCACTCTCCGGCAACGGCTATGCGGCTTCGCTCCACGGAAATAGCAGTTGACTCACAGCACCGCGCCACTTCCCCCTCTTCACTTCGGAGCCCGTTAGTGGGTTCCTTAGCGGGATGGGGGGGCGCTAAAGGTGCCCACCGAGTCCCATGGTCACAGGCTTCATTCGCCTGTGGTTTTTAAGAGGGTCCCCGCTTCGCCGTAGCGGAGAAGACCTGTTTCCCGCGGAGCTAGTCCCTCCAGTTCAGAGGGAGTCCGCCATTGCCGGTGGCGCCACCCCGGAAGTCCCACATTTGAAACTTCCCATGTACTCACACAAACATATACCAGCTGACATCCAAAAACTTGACATCCATTCACGTTTGTGCCCTGGCTTCAATCCACAAATGTCTACTGGCTTCTGTTGACTGTCTTCCAAAGGTGAACTTCCATCAGCCAACATCCACAAACATCAGTCTGCTTTAGCCTTGTAGCCTCCACCAACTTCCCAATCCAAAAGCCATTGGCTTCCATCCACCAACATCTGCCAGCTTCTCTAAGGTCCATCATGAGACGTCCACCAGCTTCCAACCAAGGATACCAGGAGCCTTCAAGCAAGCATACTTGCCTTATTATCACTCCCTAGCATCCCACTGCCAGAGGATTGCCTCCTTCCATTCTCCACTTTGCCTCCTCCAAGTGGAAGAAACCTGGGCAGTGCTGAATGTCATTTCCATTGCCAGGTGTGTCCTGTTGGAAATAAAAAGGGGCTTTCCCCTTGGCCTGCCTTTGTATCCACTCAGTTGCCAAGTGCTTTTGTGACATCACAAGAAACCCACAGCCAATGGCAACAGCTGGGGAGGCATTGTCTTCATTGCTCTGAGCCTCACAATGGCGGGGGGACCTATCAGTGATTGTGTGCTTGTTTATTCGGGACATGGGTGGTGCTGTGGTCTAAACCACAAGCCTTTTGGGCTTCCCAATAAGCAGGTTGGTGGTTCGAATCCCAGCAATGGGGCAAGCTCCCGTTGCTCTGTCCCAGCTCTTGCCAACCTAGCAGTTTGAAAGCACGCCAGTGCAAGTAGATAAATAGGCACCACTGATCACGTATGATCTGATAATACAAAGCCATGCATCTGTTTTCTGTTTCCCTAAATGCTTTTTCAAACCCTAAGTTGGGAAATAGAACATTGAACTTGGCCAGGAAGGAGCTGTAAGTAAATATGGCTGTACTGTGAATAGAAAGACTTCCCAAAAAGAGTGGCTTATCAACCTCTTATGGATCCTTCATCTATATAACCTGCATTAGCAGTTAAGAGATTTTTATTCATTTTAGCAGGCATAATAACAGGGTACTAAAATATACACGATAACCAAAGATGACATTCTTAAGTGAGACTGCAGTTTTTAACACCAAAAAAAAGAGAGATCAATTGCTTTTTAACTGGTGTATCTCCTAACAGGACAGCACAGCTGGTTTGATTGTTTGATTGCTGTCTACATGGATGGTTCCTATGTTATTGCCTACATGGTGTCTCGGGCCCATATGAAGCCTGAGGTCAATTCTTGTGGTTCCGATGCAGTGTATGAAATTCAATGCATTAGGGAGGGTGAAAAGAGGAGGAGTAGCATCTTTCTGCATTTCAGAGGATCTCTGAGACAAACCAAAAAAGTCATCAGGATGCAGCTTCCCCTTGCTCCTTTCAAATTTTGGCGTGATTTGCTGCCAATAGCAACTGACCTATCATCTGACTGAAAAGAATGACAAAGTTATGTTCTGATAAAGATTCATATTGGGAGAAGAAAAATAGTTTTGCTGTGCATCTGGAAAGGAAAGTTGCAATGGTTTCCTTTTTATTGACATAAATAGACAAGCCTTCAGTTCCAGTATGGAGTCTTCTGTACGGTTCTTTGTGATTATTTCAGTCTTGATTTTGGAGATGGGAAGAGGTGTGCTTCAGAAAATAGCACTATGGTCCAGTGCAAGTCTGTAGCAATCTCCTGTTGAAAAGAGAATGGTAGTCATTCCTTCAAAACAGGCAGCTCACCAAAGAAAACAGAGCTGTGGCATGAACAGTAATGCAAAACAAATGAGAACATGAATGAGGATGAGGACATTAACATTCGGAGAACAGGAAAACAAGAACAGACCAAAGAACACAAAATAAAGCATTGTCATCATGCTGCTTTTATTTTCAGAGGCTGCCTCGTCTCTTTCCTTCCTAACAGTGTGGAAAGTGGATTCTGTGGAAGTTGAGGCTGAAAATCATCCTCTTATCTTCCTTTTTGGTGTCAAGAGTAGTTTATTGGGGTGTTTTCTTTGTTATGTGTCCCTGTACTTGTAACAGCGGGGAACCCAGACATGGTAGATGACTCATAGGACCTAAAGGATGGAATCTCAAGAGCAGCAATTCCAAACTGTGGCCCATGGCATATTAATATGCCCCAAGAGACCTGAAGTATGCCAAAGCCCAGTGGCAGAGCATCTGTTTTGCAGGTTCAATCCCTACCAAAGCCTTCTCTGAAATCCTGCCATGCCCCTGCTATTCACTATAGACAATTCTGAGTTAGATGAACCATTGGTCTGAAATAGAAGAAGACAGGGTCTTAAGTTCCTGCGTCTTGAAACAGGGGGTTACCAAAATGGATACTAGGATAGCAGCTACTCATGATGGTTAAATGTGAATACCACTTCCTGGGGTAAAAAAATAAAAATAAAGGACCCCCTGGATGGTTAGGTCCAGTCAAAGGTGACTATGGGGTTGTGGTGCTCATCTTGCTTCAGGCCAAGGGAGTTGGTGTTTGTTGGCAGACAGCTTTATGGGTCATGTGGCCAGCATGACTAAACTGCTTCCAGCACAACGGGACACCATGATGGAAGCAAGAGCACACAGAAACGCAGTTTACCTTCCTGCTGCGGCAGTACCTATTTATCCACTTGCACTGGCATGCTTTTGAACTGCTAGGTTGGCAAGAGCTGGGACAGAGCAACAGGAGCTCACCCCGTCGTGGGGATTTGAACCACCAACCTTCTTATTGGGAAGCCCAAAAGGCTCAGTGATTTAGACCACAGCACCACCTGTGTTCTGAATAAACAAGCACACAATCACTGATAGGTCCACCCGCCATTGTGAGGCTCAAAGCAATGAAGATGATGCCTCCCCAGCTGTTGCCATTGGCTGTGGGTTTCTTGTGATGTCACAAAAGCACTTGTCAACTGAGTGGATATAAAGGCAGGCCAAGGGGAAAGTCCTTTTCTGTTTCCAGCAGGACACACCTGGCAATGGATGTGACATTCAGCACTGCCCAGGTTTCTTCCACTTGGAGGAGGCAAAGTGGTGAATGGAAGGAGGCAATCCTCTGGCAGTGGGATGCTATGGAGCAATAATAAGGCAAGTTTGCTTGCTTGAAGGCTGCTGGTATCTGTGGTTGGAAGCTGGTGGACATCTCATGATGGACCTAAGAGAAGCTGGCAGATGTTGGTGGATGGAATCCAGTGGCTTTTGGATTTGGAAGTTGGTGGAGGCTACAAGGCTAAAGCAGGCTGATGTTTGTGGATGTCGGCTGATGGAAGTTCACCTTTGGAAGACAGTCAGCAGAAGCCAATGGATCTTTGCGGACTGAGGCCAGGGCATGAACATGAATGGATGTTGGCTGGTATATGTTTGTGTGAGTACATGGGAGCTTTCAGATGTGGTTGAGGCAGAATGGTGTTTGCATGTGCACGAATGTGATGTGAATAGATGGAACCCATGGGAGGGGGGATATTGGTTTCATGGAATCAAAGAATCAGGGAATCAAGTTTGGGAGGGACCCTGAGGGTCATCTAGCCCGACCCCCTTACAATGCAGGAATCTTTTGTCAAATGTGGGGCTCATACCCATTGGCATGCTTTTGGACTGCTAGGTTGGCAGGAGCTGGGACAGAGCAATGGAAGCTCACCCGGTCATGAGGATTTAAACCGCCGACCTTCTGATCGTCAAGCCCAAGACGCTCAGTGGTTTAGACCACAACGCCACCCGCATCCCCTTAGACCAATGACTCCATGGACCAGAGCACGCCAGGCACTCCTGTCTTCCACTGCCTCCCGCAGTTTGGTCAGGCTCATGTTTGTAGCTTCAAGAACACTGTCAAACCATCTTGTCCTCTGTCGTCCCCTTCTCCTTGTGCCCTCCATCTTTCCCAACATCAGGGTCTTCTCCAGGGAGTCTTCTCTTCTCATGAGGTGGCCAAAGTATTGGAGCCTCAACTTCACGATCTGTCCTTCCAGTGAGCACTCAAGGCTGATTTCCTTCAGAATGGATACGTTTGATCTTCTTGCAGTTCATGGGACTCTCAAGAGTCTCTTCCAGCACCATAATTCAAAAGCATCAATTCTTCGGCGATCAGCCTTCTTTATGGTCCAGCTCTCACTTCCATACAACACTACTGGGAAAACCATGGCTTTAACTATACGGACCTTTGTTGGCAAGGTGATGTCTCTGCTTTTTAAGATGCTGTCTAGGTTTGCCATCGCCTTTCTCCCAAGGAGCAGGTGTCTTTTAATTTTGTGACTGCTGTCACCATCTGCAGTGATCATGGAACTCAAAAAAGTAAAATCTCTCACTGCCTCCATTTCTTGCTGTAACATAAGCCAATGTAAATTGGGGGGGGGAGGGGGCTTGTTATATGCCTGCTGCCCACACCACATGCCTGCACTGTATTTGTCACCTAAAATCAGGTTACAGTGGTACCTCGTGTTAAGAACTTAATTCGTTCTGGAGGGCTTAAAAATAATTTGGTAAGTTGTGTGTCCTTGTTTCTCAGTTTGATCCTTTCACATGGTTTTGTACAGTGGTGCCTCGCGAGACGAAATTAATTTGTTCCGCGAGTTTTGTCGTCTTGCGATTTTTTTCGTCTTGCGAAGCACGGTGTCGGGAAAGTTTTGGAAAAGCTTCAAAAATCACCAAAGTCTTTAAAAACCTCAAAAAAGGCTACCACACCGCGTTCTATGAGTTGCTCCTCGAAGTCAAGTCACAACTGTATTAACGGTGTTAAGAAAAAGGAAACAAACTTGCGAGATGTTTCCGTCTTGCGAAGCAAGCCCATAGGGAAAATCGTCTTGCGAAGCAGCTCAAAAACCAAAAAACTCTTTCGTCTAGCGAGTTTTTTGTCTTGCGAGGCATTCGTCTTGCGAGGTACCACTGTATGTTCTGTGATATTTTGTGCTGTTATTTTTATTGATGAGAGTTTAGTACAGTGGTACTTCGGGTTAAGAACTTAATTCGTTCTGGAGGTCCGTTCTTAACCTGAGGTACCACTTTAGCTAATGGGGCCTCCCACTGCCACCACGTTGCCGCCGCACAATTTCTGTTCTCATCCTGAAGCAAAGTTCTGAACCCGGGGTGCTATTTCTGGGTTAGCGGAGTCTGTAACCTGAAGTGTCTGTAACCTGAAGCGTCTGTAACCCAAAGTACCACTGTATTATTAAGAGGCTGCCCCACAGCTGCAAAGAAGAGGACTGCGTGTATCTTGTAAAGGTGAGGTTTCCTTCCACCTTTGATTCAAGGTGCGGGGGACTGTTCTTTGGGTACCAAAAGTTTGGGAATCTATCTTAGAGTAAGGGCTGGAACCCTTCCCAAGAAAGGATAATAGACTTTGCATAAGCTAAACTAGAATGTCCAATGTATCTTATCAGGAGAAATGTAGCTACCAGGACAAAAAAGGAGTAAATGGGTCATTGGTTACAAACAATGTTGAATAGGCTTAGTCTTGAGGTTTTGATCCAGAAAACAGCCATTGTAATTTGCATGAGAGAGGTCAAAGCGATGCTGTGGTTACAATAGTTAGTAGCTTTGCTATAGCTAAGCAGAGCTACAAATATCCAATATCCACATTCTCTCAAGTACCTTGTTCACGCTGCCATAAAAATGTTTATTGTTAGTAGCAGAAAATGGCTGAACTCAAACTACTTCATTAGCTAAGAGGGGTAATGGAAAGGATTTTGGAGGCTACATGATGCAGCAAGACAAAAATCAGAATAAAGATGACTTATGTGCTTTTAGCCTTTAGTAGACCATTAGGTGATGAATGCTCATCTGTAGTCTCTGACAAGCTTCAAAATCACACAGCCAGGAGCAAGTTCCGTCCTGAGTCATTTAAGCAATATTTGATAGCACTGCAACAAATCATAAGATTGACTCCTGGATAGTACTTATATCGCCTTCAGCAAGTGATAAATGCATGCCTTCCTGGCCCAATAATGATAAAGAATTTTTATTTAGAATTGCCTGCCAACTGGCAATCAAAAGCTGGTAAAAAAATAAGAATTGTTCAGATTCTGATTTAATGGTTCTTAAAAGAAGCAGATTGGGACGTGGGTGGCACTGTGGGTTAAACCACAGAGCCTAGGACTTGCCGATCAGAAGGTCGGCGGTTCGAATCCCCACAATGGGGTGAGCTCCCGTTGCTCAGTCCCTGCTCCTGCCAACCTAGCAGTTCGAAAGCATGTCAATGTGCAAGTAGATAAATAGGTACCACTCCGGCGGGAAGGTAAACGGCGTTTCCATGCGCTGCTCTGGTTTGCTTAGTCCTGCTGGCCACATGACCCGGAAGCTGTACGCCGGCTCCCTCGGCCAATAAAGTGAGATGAGCATCGCAACCCCAGAGTAGGTCACGACTGGACCTAATGATCAGGTTTTCCCTTTACCTTTATAAAAGAAGCAGATAAATATCAAACACTATTGGTAAGTAAGGACCCACAGAATTCGGAGTTAATAAGCAAATGTGATTATATTTATCAAGTACTAGACAGTGAGTATGGGTGGGTCTCGTTACAAAACATTAATGGTTTCCCATTTGCTTACAGACTGTACTCATGATAAATTCAGTCTGGGAGTATTCTGTATTCCAGTTATCTCTACTTCACACCCAGTTAACAGGGCATATACTCCAATATGTATAAAATATGCACACTTAGGTGTGTATACATGTATCTTACAACTAATCCAGAAAGCGGCAACTAGACTGGTGACTGGGAGTGGCCACCGAGACCATATAACTGTTAGGATATTTCCGTTCCACCTTAAAGGGAGCAGGCTGTTGTTTGAGTCACAGTCTGCGTACTTCCGGCTCACAGGAAGTTTCTCTTTTGTATATAGCTTTTGTTTTCTCTCTGTGCCTGGACACGCAGACAGGCAGTCATGTTTTTCCTTTGTTCTGACCAACGCTGAATAAATTGTAAATAATGCTCTCCTGAGTGCATCTTTCATTGTACGAACTCTGCTGAAAGAGCGTGCACCAGTCCTTGGAATGTGGGAGCTGTTTCTGTGGCTCGTGTCGCTAATTGACTGATACTGCATTTCTACGGGAGATCGATGGATCGTCCGGAGACGGCGTGGGGGCATGATGGCCTTTGTCTCCCTGGCAGTATCCCAACAACAACAGCGGTGCTGTAAGACCTACATTGGCTCCCAGTACATTTCCAAGCACAATTCAAAGTGTTCATGCTGACCTTTAAAACCCTAAACGGCCTCGGCCCAGTATACCTGAAGAAGCGTCTCCACCCCCATCGTTCAGCACAGACACTGAGGTCCAGCTCCGAGGGCCTTCTGGCATTTCCCTCACGGCGAGAAGTGAGGTTACAAGGAACCAGGCAGAGGGCCTTCTCGGTAGTGGCACCCGCCCTGTGGAATGCCCTCCCACCAGATGTCAAGGAAATAAACACTATCTGACTTTTAGAAGACATCTGAAGGCAGCCCTGTTTAGGGAAGTTTTTAGTGTTTGATGATTTGTCGCTTTTTAAAAATTTATTATTAATATTCTGTTGGGAGATGCCCATAGTGGCTGGGGAAGCCCAGCCAGATGGGTGGGGTATAAATAATTAAATTCATCATCATCATCATCTTACATTCTTAGGCAACTTCATGCATCTGGGGGAGCAGGATGCCGCAATAAAGTAATTTCACTTTATTGGTAGCATTTTAGGCAGCAAGAAGCATTTTACAAACCGGATTGCAGCGAAAATGGTTCTCCAGTTTGCAGCCTAAATCAGCATGTGTTTCCAGGGACTACTCCGTTTTTCAGATAATGATCTAAGGGTTGCAAGTGTGTTTTGCCACACAAACACTCCCTTTCATGGATGGTCAGGCAGCGATAGCACCACCAAGTAGTAATAGGGTAAAGTAGTTTTCCCCAAAGTATTACACATTCCACTGGGTTTCAAAGGGTGCGTGACATATTTTTTAATCGTGATTTTTTTTTAGCTGCAGAAAACAATTCAAATATAAAGTATTATTATTTAAACTACCCCCAAATAATCTTTGCCCTAGACTAAGCTCTCAAAATAGGTGCACAATATGTAAGTTTGGAAGCACCAGGGTAAGGGATTCACAATTATGTAGCACATGCCTCCAGATATTACTGTGGTATTCGAAAACCATCAGCAAATTTGCGCTGCACATTCTTAAAATGTGACAGGCTTGCCAAAGGCCACATAAACCACACTTCAGAGACTGATCTAGGAACCAGCCACCATGTCATTTGAACCTTTCCTATCTGCTAGAAATAATAATAATAATAATAATAATAATAATAATAATAATAATTTATTTATACCCCACCCATCTGGCTGGGTTTCCCCAGCCACTCTGGGCAGCTTCCAACAGAATATTAAAATACAATAGTCTATTAAACATTAAAAGCTTCCCTAAACAGGGCTGCCTTCAGATGTCTTCTAAAAGTCTGGGAGTTGTTCTTCTCTTCGACATCTGATGGGAGGGCATTCCACAGGGTAGGTGCCACTCTGCCTGGTTCCCTGCAGCTATGCTTCTCTCAGTGAGGAAACCACCAGAAGGCCCTCGGCGCTGGACCTCAGTGTCCGGGCAGAACGGCAGGAAATATTCCAACACTCCCCATATTTATCCTGCAAGTTTTTTGTACTTGACCTCTTTAATAAGTAGAAGTGAGAGAGGTGGGAATGATTTCTTTCAATATTCTGAAGAGCAACAGCAGAGCAGTTCCTAGCCACACAAGTGAGACCTGCAACAAAATGTTGGGAAAATGAGCTCTCCTTGGTTAGCACTCCAGTCAAGCCCACCCTCATCCAGCATAATCCATCAGAGTTCTTTGCCCATTTTTCTAACAGTCAATATTTAATGCCCCTCCATTTCAGAGGGGGGAGTCTTTTTAAAAATTGTACTTCTACAAACTTACTTTTATTAAATGTACCTCTGCAAGCCTCCAAGGCTGCTTCTGTTTCCCTCTTGGGTTTCTGCCTGTGCTATTGGCTATGTAAAGATCCGCACTGACAGAACT